GATGGTGGGAGGCTATTTGATTTTTGGTCTTCTCAGGGAATAAAAAGCTAATGGAAAAGCCATCTTTTGGGAATTGGATGTTTTCTTCTTGGCCAAATCATAATTCTTGAAACATCATGAGCACAAGCTGTTTTTTCATAGAATTCTACAAAGATAGAATAGTCTGGGTAAGAAGGGACCTCTTAAAGGTCATCCAGTCCAGTCCTACCATAAGCAGGGATGTCTCAGGTTACTCAAGAGTCTTGTCCAGCCTGAACCTGAATGTTCCCAGAGATGGGGCACCCATGACCACTCTGGGCAACCTGCTCCAGTGTTTTACCACCCTCACTGTAAAAAACCTTTCTTTCTTGTACCTAATCCAAATTCAGTCTCCTTCAGTTTAAAACCATTACCCCTTGTCCTATCCCAACAGGCTCTGCTAACAGGCCCCCTTCAAGTACTGAAAGGCCACAGTAAGGTTTCCCCAGAGACTTCTCTTCTCCGGGCTGAACAATCTCGATTTTTTTTCAGCCATTTCTCATTCCAGGGCCCTTTTCTGGATTAGCTCCAACAGGTCCATGTCCTTCCTGTGCTGGGACCACAGGGCTGGGTGCAGAGTTCTGGGTGGAGTCTCACCAGAGCAGAGCAGAGGGGCAGAATCCCCTCCCTTGCCCTGCTGGCTAATCTGCTTTGGATGCAGCCCAGGACACTTTTGGCTTTCTGAGCTGCAGGTGCTGCCAGCTCATGTCCAGCCCCTCATCCACCAACACCCCCTGGTCCTTCTCAGCAGGGCTGCTCTTGCTCTATTCCTCCCCCAGCCTGGATTGATACCAGGTGTTGCCCCAACCCAGGTAGAAGAGCTGTACCCAACAAAAGAATATTGCTGAGTATTTCATTTCACAGATTTAAGGATTTTAGGATAAACTTTTAAGGGGTCTGGAAGCACACTGCAAGCAGAATGTAATTTATTATTTATTAAGAGTTGAAACTCTAGGGTATTCATTAGGAGAGAGGAGTTGTACAGACTGCTCAGATATTCTCTCTATGGTGTTAGAAGTGAAGATATGACAGACTCCAGCTATCAAAAGAGAAACACTAAACTTGCAGGATGAGATAAGTAAGTCTATAGAATAGGTTTGTAAACATAAATAGGCCATTTAAGTAAAATGTATACCTGAAGCACTGCTATTTGTATAAGTCTGACTAGTAATCCAATTGATTTAGACATAAAAGTCTTTGAAACTCTGTTTTTAAATTAGCAGTTCATGTCAAACCTAACAGAATTTCTTTAGCAAATCCTAGGTACTTCAGCCCTTGCTGGATGTATGAATTCCAGTGAGGAACATGAGGATTACTTGCTTTAGTTTCATAACCGGGGTTTACTGTGGGGGAAGGGGAAGGGAAAGGGGAAAGGAGAAAGGAGAAAAGAAAAGAAGGGCATTTTCCTGGATTAAACTGTGATGAAAAAACCTGGCTTGACTCACTTTCCAGGGACAAAAAATGACTATGATTTCAGACAGCGATGTCTCTTTCATGTTCTTTTTTCTACCTTTTTGTTAAACAAAGGGAAGTGAAGAGCTGTTTATGTTTTTCCTTCCCCTTCTGTCTCCTCAGGGCTTTTCTTCCAGCACACAGTTCGTTATCAGGTTTCAGAGTGTGCTTTGCAGCACTGAGTAAAGCGCTGGATAAAAATACCAAACATTTGATATCTTACAACAACAAATCAGTTGGGAAGGAGCTTTTCTGCTGCTGTTGCTTCCCTCCCTGTTGTACTTAAGGATGTACTGCCAAAATAAAAGCAAAGAATGCAGTTTGTTAGTGGTTATTTACATACAAACAGATGAGTTACCGGTAACAATTATTTTCACAGCCTTTAATATGTAAGGGAAGCAAAGCACAGCAGAAGTTCTCACCCCAAAACACCAGGTAATTCAGCTGATTCAAAGACAAGGATAACAAAGGTGCAGATTTTTGTTCAAAACACAAATTTATAAAACTAATATTGAGAACACAACATGAACAAAATGTGCATGTTTTTTTCTTGCAGTATCTTGAAAACAGCAAGGCCAGAAAGTTTGGGTTGATGCTACCTTGGGTTTGTGGTGCCTAACAGACCAGTAGTATTTTGTAGTCTAATGAAAAAGTAAAATATCTCTGGAAATGTTCCTGCTGGATAGTGAGGAATATCCAAATATTTTTAAAGTGTGTTCTGGTTTGTTGGGAGCCTCTGTGACCTAACAGCATCAGTGTGGAGTTAATAATATAGGAGAACCTTAACTCTATGCAGAATCTGATGTCTGCAGAGGCTTGTAATTTATTAGTCTGTTTTCATCAGGGCTAGTCCACTATAACTATGGTCCACTTTAGGAGCCACTCAAAGTATTCACTTCTAGTTTATAAATACCTAACAACAAAAATATGGTGGGTGGATGCATCTGATAAATTAAACACAAGAAACCAGTGCTGAAGTGTTGGTCTGCAGGTTAGGGAATACTGTAAATCAGTAATCTAACCTTTCTTTTTGCAATTTTCCCTGTGAAAGGGAGCGTTAAGGAGAGGCCTGTAAGAGTATGAGACAGTTTTCTGGAGAGGCTCCTCAGTGCACAACAGGCAGCAAAAGAAACAGTGCCCTACTTTTCCTTTCCCTTGCCTTGCAGTAAAACCCACATATGAAACTAAGCCAAGTACTGCTCGTGTTTGAAAATGGGAGGTGCTGCAGTAAGCAAAGCAGAACCACGCTGTGACCACAACATGGATAATTGAGAGCCTAAATATAAATACAAAGAACATGTGAGGAAACCATGCCAGGGCTGCTTACAGTGACAGGATAGGAATGTGATCCCTGCCCAGACACTGCAAATGGATATCAGTAGGAGGAAATTACCCTGACAAGATAAGAGGAAGAGGGGTTTTGTAATCCTAACATGAAATGAGAATCTAGAGGTGGATGGTCAGGAAAGGCTGAATGATACAGATGGTTTTTTCTAAGCATCCTTAATAATTAAACACAGCCAGGACATGAGGATACAGACTAAAGATCACATCCTAGGTTACAGCTAAGTTATTGGCCTAAATGCTATGTAATGTTAGGATTTTGTTCCCTGTCATGGCTTAACCCCAGCCAGTAATTTAAATACCACACAGACACTTGCTCACTCCCACTGCCCACTCCCAGGCCCCCCAAAGGTGGGATGGGGAGGAGAAGCAGAAAAAAAGGTAAAACTTTTTCTGTTTGTCTTGACAGGGTAATATCCTCCTGCTGATATCCAAGAGGTTGAGATAATAACAGTTTATTAACTGAAATAAAGTAAAATATTATAATAATTTTATTGGAAATGAAAAAAGAGAGGCATATTAGCCAAGAAAAACAAATTATGCACATTACAGTTTCTCCCAGCTTCTTGTGCACGTCCTCACTGGCAGAGCATGAGAAACTGAAAAGTCCTTGACGTAGGATGAACTCTACTTATCAGAAACTAAAACATCAGTGTGTTACCAACATTATTCTCATACTAAATCAAAACACGACATTGTACCAGCTACTAGGGAGAAAGTTAACTCTATCCTAACCAAAACCAGACATTTCTACAAGTCAAAGTGTTGAGTGGATAAATGAATCTGCATTGAAGAAGGTGATTGAATTATTCCTCACAAATAAGTTTACAAAAAAATATGAGGTTTTGGGACTCCTCAAAAGGGCTTCCTCCAAGAACAAAGTGGAGGTTTCCCCAGAAAGGACAGTGTCAAGGAAGCCAGGGAGAGGATAAGCTAACAGAAAGTGCAACATCAGGGTGTTGGTTTCTAGATTCAGTCATGGAGAAACAGAAGTGTCCCTGCTGGTTCTCCTGCAGAGCTGCTTGGCAGGACCTGCTAAGTCAGGAGAATGAGTTCTGCAGATATTTTTCAGCAGGGGACTGGGGCAGGGCAAGCACAAAGCCTGCAGTCAGTGTGCAGGCTTGCTCTGAAACACATCTGCATGCTTGTGGTGCCAGTGTTACCTCTGGTACTGTTAAAAAGAGAGTACTGGGAGAGAGGTGTAAACTAAAGCTTAGAGTAGCTTGCAGTTAATGTGTGGTGAAAAGCACTTCAGCTTTTCAGCAGAGGAATCAAGGGGTTACAAAGAAAAGAAAAAGTAGCAAAGAGCCTGTCCTTACTCTCAGAGTCAAGCAAGATGAGTCACCATCCTTGGAGGTATTTAAAAGTCTGTAGGGACATGGTTCAGTGGTGGACTTGGCAGTGTTAGGTTAACAACTGGACTCAGTGATCTGAAGGGTCTTTTCCAACCTAAATATTTCTATGATTCTGTGAAGGTAATCGACTTTTACTTTTTTCTTCTGAGTGAGAGAGGGAGAGCTGTGGTTCTTTAGTGGAGATGTTTTGCTTGGCATTTGGCTTGTCTTGTGAGCAGCTTCGCTGTGTTTTAGTTTGGGAACACTCGACTATGATAGAAACTGTACTAACCCACACAGAGGGAGGGAGTGCAGGTCAGCAGCAGTGAGCTCCTGGGCTGACACTGAAGGCAATCTGCTGGACAACCCTGGGAGCCAGGAGTAGCACAGTTTGTCTTGAAGTCCCTGCAGCATGACCTCATAGAATGTTTTCACAAAGGCCCACGCTCAGGTGAGGGTTTCAGAAATTCATCCTAATTTCTAGAATTTTGAATTTTCCACTTTTTTGCAATGCATTTGTTTTCCTTAAGCACATGTCATAGTACATTTCACAGTTCCTGCTGTCAGAGAGGGAAAACACCAAATCCTGCTCATTGTGAGTAAGCCAAGGGGGTAACCATAGGACCAGTGTTCTGCTCATCACTTGATCCTAAAAACCCTCTACTGAGAAAGAAAATATTCCAGGTTACCTTGCAGTGTTTGAGGAGCTGAAGTAGGACATCAGTGTGGTCATGTTTCGCTTGTCTTAACCAAAAGAAATTAGTATGAGTGAGCAAACCACATGTGTTGTAGATATAGTTGTACTTGGTTAATTTTCCTGTAATTCACTGTGGCTTTGTATGCCCTTCACAGGCATGAATAACCGGGAAGTCTTGGAGCAAGTAGAACGAGGTTATCGGATGCCATGTCCTCAGGACTGTCCCATCTCCTTGCATGAGCTTATGATTCACTGCTGGAAAAAAGACCCAGAGGAGCGTCCAACTTTTGAATATTTACAGGGTTTTCTTGAAGACTACTTCACTGCAACAGAACCCCAGTACCAGCCTGGTGACAACCTGTAAATCCTTGGTTTCCAGACACTGTCATGAATTACCAGGAATTTCTCAGCCCTGTCCCACCTGCTCTCCACCTTCCAACTCTGTGATCGGCTTCTCCAGAGTGCAACATCTTCCAGCACTGCAGTGCACAGGAGGGGCTGCAGCTGGGAACTTCCACAGCCCTTGCCTACAACCACTTGTCCTAATAATCTGAATGTCCTGGATGAAAAGGAGAAAAACACTTGTTTTTTCCTAATCAAAGACTCCAAAACTGCATTGTATTGATGTTATGTAAACTGCAAAACCTCTGTTCATTGTAAATAGTAACTCAGTGCCAATAACTGATCCTAGTGCTTTCCTTTTTTTAAAATGCAGAACCTATGTGATTTTAACTAGTCTTCTCCTGATTCAACTAAAAGTATTATTTTCCAGAAGTGGCCTCTTTGTCTAAAACATTTTTTTTTTCATGTTTTAACAAATAAAAAAATCAGGACAGGTGTTTGGGTTTTTGCTTTTTTATATATAAAATATATATAATATATATACATACCTGTACATACAGTATATGGGTGCTATTGCAGAGGAGGCTCATTTGGAATTGAATGACTCCTGATGCAGCTGTACCCAGAAAGCGATAATTTTACTGCAGACATGAAAACACTGGTGGGATTCTGAAAGCCAGTGATCTAATTTTTGGCTTTTGCCAAGCATGATTTTTTTAAATTGGATTGCACTTTTTGTTTATGATTATGTACCTGTAGATGGTTGTAACTTTGCTCTTTCAGGAATCACGTGCTGTATTTACAGTAATGTTTCCAATGTTTGACAAGTGTGTGATGATTTGTTCTTGAAATTAAAACGAACATATTTAAAGCAAGAAAACTACACCATCACCGTTTGAACTGGAAAATTGAAACTGCAAGGACTTCTTGTATCAAAACATGTATACTGAATTGTTTCAAAAAAATTTATTAAGCAGTGTAACCACATTCAGATGGTCTTAAAATAATAGCATTTTAGCCATGTCCCCCTGCTAAACTGTTGGTCATGCAACTAGGATTTTTCTGTTTTATGTGTAACATTTTTCCATTGTAAAATAAGTGTGTTGAGTGTCCTGTACTGCTAATGAAATTACTTTCTCTGTGTCTGCAAGTTCTCCAGTGGAATTACTATGCACTTCTTTACATTTCATGGGGGATGCACAGAACAAAGTATTACCTTTTCAGTTGTCTGTACCAGCCTTGAATTACTTACGTTTAACCAAAAAACACAAAAAAAAAATTCCTTTCTATTTCTATTGAGTTTTTAATACTGAGTTGCAAATTTTAAAGTCTTAATTACATTTTGTTATGGTTTATTCACAAGTTTACATTTTAAAACTGTTTAACTTTCTTAATTTAGTAATTAAAAAACAAAAGAGCATTTTACATTTGGATAGTTGTTTTTTTGTTTAAACTGTGGAGCTAATGGTGGACATGAGATGAAAAACTTTTCAAGAAGGGGTGTCATGCCATTTGGGGCATGACATTTCATAGGAGTATGCAGACCAATTACCTATGGGACATCATTTTCCAAATTATGAAGTCAATATGTTTTGAAATAGCTGGAGTTCAACTGTAAGGAAGAAGGCTGAATGCATAGCTAGTCTCTCCTTTCTCTCTTCTACAGCAGTTTGTTCTTTATTAGTTCTGTTGCATTTAACATGAATACTTTTACATTTAAAAGTGTTGCAGGAAAAGCTTTTCTATGTCTTGTATTGCTGTTACCGCTTTAAAAGATTGTGGCCAACTAAGACTTCCTGACAGTTGAAACTTTTTTTTTTTAAATTATTTAGTACTTAGATTGTGAATTCATACTCTGAAGATTCACACATTTTCTAAAGAGAACCTTTCTTCATTTGTGAAAACTAACCCAATAATCAATTGAGATTCAGAGAACAAATTGTCATAGTTTTAATATTTTCTATACAAAACTGACTGAAAATCCTCTTGCAAAGGAGGCTTCCACACTTAGCCTTTCTCAAAGTGTGAATTTATACGGCAATGTTGCTTGTTACCAGATTTCCATGATAAATTGGTTAACGTTTTACATGTAGAGTCTATAAGTAATGTTATGTACATTATCTACTCAATGTTGCTGTACCTGTAGCTGTGGAGTACTGAAGAGGCCATGATCCTTGTTGGACTTCTAGCTTCCTCTTAGTACTTACAAAGCAAGTCGTGGCCCTCTTTTTTTTCCCACAGCTACCCCCCTGCCTTAAAATACCATCCATGGAACTGAGGACTCCATAGTAACTCAGCGGGCTGGCGAAGCCAAAATATCACCTCCTCAGCCCAGAGCCCGGTGGCGAAGCGTGGCCGCGCTGCCAAGTTCCTTAGCAGCCTTTGCCATGCCACAAACTTAAGCGCAGTTTCCATCTGCAATGCGGGACGAGCCTAAAACGTTAGTTTGCCTATGTTTCTCATTGGAAGTAAGACTCAGATGGGGCGTTGTTGGGGTTTTATGGCCTTGATTTCTGATTCTTGGGTTTGCTGTTTCTTGTATTGCATTCGGTCTCTGAATACCACGTTGGTCTCTGCCGGATCTCTGCCTGCAGCTGGCTTGTGTGCAGACTGGTGCCACTGTTGAGTGGCAAATCCAGACCATCTCTCATCGGTAGCTCTTCTGCTTCTTTTTCTTAATGTTGGGAGTTTTGTTGTTTGGGTTTTTTAATCTCTCAAATAAAAACATTAGCAAAAAATTTAAACAAGGTTGTTAGGTTTTTTTGCTATAAATTAATAAAAGCCTTTTCTTAAGCACTGCGTATACACCACAAGTAGTTGTGTGGTGACTCTAAAAGTAGAATTTGTGAGATTAGGAATCTTCTGTTCCTTCCAATAATTTTTAAATGTAAGACTAAATAAATTCCACCCAGGTAAAAACAATTGACCAAATGCTCCCCTCACCAGCCCACCTGATTCCCAACCGATCCATGGTGTGGTGGCTGATTTCCAGAAGAGGTCGTCTAGGAGATCTACCAGCAGCAGAAAGGACTCTGTGGGGAGACACAGGCTTCTCTAAGCCAAGTTTAATCCAAGACCTGTCTCAGGAAAAGTGACAGGTGGAAATGAGACACTGCTGCCAAAGGGATGGTTAGTATGGTTATTATATTTCTGTGAGAAGGCAATTATGTGAGACTTGGTGGTCCTTGAAAAAGACAAAAGGCACTAACATGATACTCTTTGGCTTTTGTAAACTATGCTCAATGTAGTTCTGGGTGACACTCTGGTTTTGATTTAATTACCACTGTAGAAAAACAAAGTAAATACAAAACAGAAGAGTGATTAACTGCTAAAATTATAAGAATAATCACAAGTGGAAAATCTGTCTCCAGTGTGAGTGTTTCTCCTGAAGCCTCTAGACTGGAAAGGACTACCTGCAGCCCAAGAAGGCAGATTGCTAAATATCTCAATCTTGCCACATAACTTCAAGGTGAGTGAGGAAAGTTGCTCCAATTTATGCTAACATGCACCATCCTTTTCTCAAGTGCTGCAATAAAAAATGCAGCGTGCTAATGAACACTACCATATTGCACCCAAGGGGTTTAAGGGCCTCACACGAGGCTGAGCCCAAGCATGCAAGAGCTATTAGGAGATATACAGTAGCTCCTCTTCTGAAGTGTAGACAATATTCATTCATCAAAGGAGCCCTTTCCTGTCTAATGGGAAATTACCACCAGCAGTGCAGACAAAAGGATATTTATTTTCTCCAGTTGTGTCAGTTTGAGGGTCTGTCTGTCTTTCAAGAATAATTGAAGTCTGTTTGTAGCTCAGAAATCTCATTGTGTTCTGCAGTCTTGGAAAGCAGTGATTATAATTTCCTGTGACTCATACACAGGGATATTTTATCACTGAGGGGACTCCTGTCAACTGGAGCAGCATTCCCTGCCGTCTTAACTGAAGAAAGGGGCACTTTAGTTTCAGATTTTCCTGCACAGACCAAACCAGAACCCATGTGCTTTCTGCAGAAAAGGAAAAGAGGCCTCTTGCTGGGATTGCCGCATGAGTAGGGTGCTAGTGTCTCCCTCTCAGTGCTTCTAAATTTCTCAGAACTTGTGACAGCTAAAACCAGCCTGCTGAGGTCCATTTTGAATGTTAGAGAGGAAATGCTGGCTTCCCTTAAGTCCATGAGATATTTTCTGTTGACTTCTAATACAGAGCCTGTTCTTATGTGTGTGTGTACAGTTGTCTGTAACTCAAAAGGAAATTCACACATAAAAACATCTACACAAACATCAATCTATCTCCTTATATCCCTCCCCTGCAGCTGAAAGCTTAACAAAAATGTAAAACTGGGACATGAGTAGATTAGAGGACAAAATGTTGTTAACAACAAAAGAGCTGCTCTTTTTTTCTTCTTGTTTTCCCTTTCTTTTTTTTTTTTTTTTTTTTTTCTCTGCTGGTTCCCACTACGTGATCTGTTACAATCCCTATTCCCAAACCAGGAGAGGTGGTAGCAGCAAGCACTGTGCTACAGCCCAGAGATGCTGTGGGCCTCTGGCTACTGCAAAGAGCAGCCTGCAGCTACCTTAAAGTCGGGGAGAGAAAACTTCTCCCAAGGGCATGGCTGCAGTTTGGAGCCTGCAGTGAGGTGTGCAGGAGTGAAGGGAGAACTGCCCTCCCAGGAAAAGCAGGTCATTGCTGGTAGGCACTGCATGGTGTGCTGGAGAGGCAGAGGCAAAGGTTGCAGCAGCAGCAGCTGTGTTTGCAGCACCAGCTGTGCTCACAGCGCCTGTGCTTCCTTGTGCCCAGGGATTTGGGTGATGAGATTAGAGCAGGCTGAGGAGCGTGAACTGCGGTTTCTGCTTCCAAATGTAAATATCTTCTCTGTTACAGCAGAGAGGAAAATACTGTATGTTCAAGATGGGGGGAAAAAACCACAGGATTGGTGTGGCCTGTGACTGCGAGGCAAGTGTTGGTTCTGCCTGACCAGGCCAGATGGAAGTTTGATTGTTTGGCTCATTGTTGGGAATAACTCAGCATTAAGCTCTGTGAATAGCTAAAAGGGCAAAGAGTAAAGAAATGAGATTATCCTTCTTCCCCTACAGCCAGGCTAGAGCTTGCCAAGGGCTCTGTTTTGCTTTTTTGTGCATCAGCATTTGTTGCTGAGCTGCACCCAGAGCCTTGCTCAGCTACCTATTATAACAGCTTCACACAAAATTCCTGAGCCCTGGAATGGAATGGATGAATTCTAATCTGGAAAAAGAAAAAAGAATGCAGGGCTGCTTTGTGGCTGTTGGGGCTCAGCCTCATGCCTCAGGCTTGTCTGTGAGCCCTGGCATTCCCTGTGCTTTATTCACTGCTGCAGTTCAGGCTCTGGGTTGCCTCTAAGTCCCACAGGCTGCTGGAATTCCCCGGCTAGAAAATGCTACTCATATAGGAAGGGTCCCTGGTGTTGGGAAAGGGCTCAGGGGTCCCAGCACACCGCTCCTGCTACCACGCAGGGCCTGGGCCATGACTGTTCCTGGGACACACTTTCCAGGAGGGAGTGGCAGTGCAGGAGGGGCCTGCAGCTTCCCTGGAGCCCCTTGGACACCCAGGAATGCCATGCTCTGCTGGCAGCAGCTCAGGCACAACTGTGTGGAGCTGCTGACGGGTCTTGGGATGACTTGGCTGGGGCTGTGTTGCTACAGCCCATAGTCCTAGTAACAGTGGAGAACCAGATGCTAAATCCTGCCCTCCTAAAAAAGCAAAGGCAACGAGCCACATGAGGAACAGCTTTGTGCCTTAAAGAGAGAGGACTACGCACGTTTGATCACACGAGAGCTCAAGTGTTCCCTCAAATTCCCATGCCTCCCAAAAGCAGTGCAGCCGCCAGCTGAGCTTTGTCTATGACCTCATATACATCCAGTGTATAAAACACATACCACATATGGAACATTTGCATATGTTACATGTCTTTTGTTCCACTTGGGTGGCCTTTTCTTCCCCTTCCCCCACCTCTTGCACCACTACTCATCCACACAGCTCCCATCACGTTATTCAGGACGTGTCATTTCTGAAGGACTACACATCCCCGTCCTGCAGAGTATGGGGGCTCTGTTAATTGTCAAATGTTGAGTGGGTAATGATCAATGGGTGACTAATTGGACGCAAGAGGGAATAAAATAGGTATTACTTAGCTTCTGCTCTTAATTAAGAGGATTCATAATGCTGTGGGGAAAATCTTAACAAATAGCAGGAGAGGTTTTTGTCATTGTGCAGGGTTTAATTACATGCATTGCACAAGCTAACATCCAGGTACTGTTTTCCTTCCTTTCAGGTGTCTCTCCAGGGTGTGACTGAAAAATGCCAAAGCAAGACCCTTAAAATAAAGTAAGTGGAAAATATTTTTGCAGGCATGTGCCTAGCAATGTAAACAGCAAGAGATGGAAGAAAGCCCCGGTTTTCCTCACAGTGCAAAAGCAGCAAGGAACAAGCCACTTGCAGAGAACCAGAGTGAGACCATCATGCTGAGGCAGAGGGGGTTAAAGGCTCACTGCAATGTCTCCAGGTTAATTCACAGCACCAATGTTAAAAGAGGAGCAACATGACAGCGCTTTATTTAAACAGTTAATCATCTGGAAGCAAAAGATTCATGATTTATTTCTCCAAATACAGTGATGTGGTAGGAAATATGAGAAGGGGCACTCGATACTAACACTTTGTTCCTAATGAAAAAAGAAATATTACAACTCCTGCAGGATTAGGAACCTTTTAAGAAAAAAAAAAAGGTCCGTGTTACTTGCCTTGCCAAAGAAAACCATCCTGCACTTGCATCTGTCCTTTCTATGACAGGCCCAATATGACTCATCAAGCTCTGCTTGTAAATAATGTACAGATGAGATACTAACTTCAGAGAGTTCAGAGTTTCATCTGGCTTTCAGTGAGTGAAGTCAGTATGGTAGGAAGACTTCAAATATATAAAAGATGCCTTCAGAAGGCAATTATGATGGTTTCAGTTTTGGGAATGAGGGAGGTTTTTGAAATGCTGAAATAAACTTGGGTATCTGTTGTCCAAGTTTCCTAATCCAAAAATGAGTTAATTGACAACAGTTTCTACAGCTTTGTGGGAGGGTACTTAGGTTTGGGCTGGACCTTTGAAACCCACTCAGCAGACAGTGCTGTTAACAGAGTCAGCAGAGTGTGACTTTCAAGCTATTTTCCCTCTCTTTGTCAGGCTGTTAATAAAGTACATAAAGCTCAAGTGAGAAGAAACTGCTCCAAATATCTGCTGCTTTCTGGGGCTTGGCAAGCTAAAGGGGGGACAGAGCCTGGTTCTTTGGCCACATCTGCAGACACCATTAGGTCTCTACATTTCTGGACCTGGAAGTGCTCACACAAGGGACAGATCTCACAGCCAGAACCTTCCTCTCCTGGCCAACTGGCAGCTGCCTACAGGGGTGGCAGGTGGAACTATTGTTGCTGGATGTTACAGACCAGCGTCCAGGCTTTGACCAGAGGAGAACAGAGAACTGTCCATACCATTGTCAGAGAGGGAGGCCATCCACCGTGTGAAGGGAGGTGCTTGATGGCTCCACAGCACAGCCTTTTACAAGGAAACCCCACAAATGTGGGTATTGATGAAACATTCCAGGGGACACTGCCTGCCGAGTCCCCATGCTGCCTGCATTCCCTGAGGAGGCGGTCATTGCACAGCAGACCCTACACACATCCCTCACATACATCCCAGGAAGGTCAGGCACTCCCAGAGCAATTCTCCCTCCCTGCTTCCATCCTGTTGACATTCACCAAGGTCCTGATCTTGGCTCTTGTGTGGCCGTGGGCCCCTTGCAGCCCTCACCCCCTGTAGCACACAGGTGGCAGTGGAGCCATCGCTGCTCCCGAGCTGGAAGCTGGTGGGAAAACTGGCAGGAGAGGCAGGCACCCAAATCCAGTGTGCTGCAACTCAGGGCTCAGGCAGCCTCGATGAAAATGTCGGCTGCCAGGGTGTTCATGGTGCAAAACAGCTGTGCAGCGGAGGCCAGGCCAGAGGGATTAAACCTTCGGCTGGCTCAAATCACTGTGGTTATAATGCAGCCACTCCAGCTGCAAGCATCTAGTGCTTATCACATCTGGGTTCGGCTGGGACCAGCAGGGATTGTCCAGGAAGTCTGGCCACAGTCAAGGACAACTTCAGGATGCTCCAAAAGGGAGCCCTGGTGTCCTGCTGGCCTTTGCCCTGGCACAGGAGGGAGGAAGCGGGGAAGGAGGGGGTCAGGATGGCCAATTCCAGGCCAGGCTGATGTGGGCTTTCTCAAGAGGGAAGGTAAGCCCAGGCTGCAGGGCATCACTGCACTGCCATCAATACAATCACACTTGGTGCTCAGCTGGGGGCACAGGCTGCTCCCAGCTGCTTGAGGTTTCCCTCCAAAAATGTGGGCAGTCAGTCCCCGATGAGAGGAGTTAATTGCCTGGGTCACAGCTTTGCCTTTGGAGCAGAAAGAGGGGCTGGCAGAGTGGTGGGCATGCAGAGAACAGCCCTTCCTGGGGAGAGGAATGCTGGGCATGCGGCTCCTTCCTCCTCCGCCAGTGTCACGGGGAGGGCACAGGAAGGAGCAGCGGTGGCACTGGCAGAGCTTGGAGCTCGGGGATGGTTTAGATGTCCCTGTGTGCCCAGGCAGAGCAGCCAGGCATTGAGGCAGCGAGTGGTGTCCGCCCACGGTCACCTGGAGGATGAGGAGCCGTGCCCAGGCTGCAGCTAGCTAAGTGAACCTCCTTCTAGGGTTAAACTGAGAAAATGCGGCTGGAGATCGGCAGGGGGATGCGCTGACTGGAGGGTCAGGACAGTGCTGAGGGCTGGGATAAAGCGGCCAGATCTGGGGCGGCTCTCCTGGGGCAGCTCCCCGAGCGTCTCCGGAGCTGCTCGGCTCTCAGGAGCTGTGAGAATGAGGAAGTTTCAGCTGGTAGGAAAACCGTTTCTGCTCCTTGAGAGTGTAGAAACTTGGAAGTGTCTAGAAATCTAACCTAAAAGAAAGAACCAGTCGAAAAATCCTTTTTCTGTTGTTCTTTATATAGGTCTTACACGCATCATGTGATTGTCTTCAGTAGTCTGAATCACAGCTGATTTAACATTTGGCACCGACAGTAGGAGGCCGAGGGCCGAAAGCAAGGGATGACTTTCCCGACGAGGCACACCGTTTAGGAACCACACCGGGGTTCCCCCCAGTTATTTCTCCGCGGCGCTCAGGCAGAGGCCGCCCGGCTTCCCAGGAGAGGCGGCGAGCCGCACGGAGCATGGTCGGGGAGCCCTGAGCCTCCCTCCAAGTGTCACTCCCCCACAGAGGCTCTCCCGCCGCGCCGAGCCCTGCGTGCTCTTCCACTTCCTGCTGCAGAGCCAGTTCTGCCGCTCACCTGGGAGAGGCAGGCAGGCCAGCAGGGAGGGTGTCGTAAAAGGAGGGAAAGCCGCCCGCCCGGCTGAGGAAGGAGCCCCGGGCGCGGCGGGGAGCGCGGGAGGCGCGCAGTCCTCTCGCTCTCCCGGGGCAGCCCAGCGCGAAGCTCCCTCGCCCGCAAGGTAAGAAGTGCCGGAGGTGCCGCCTCTCTCGGCCCCTGTCTGCCCTCAGCTGCTGACCCGCGCCGGGCTCTCGCTGGGGCTTCTTTCCCCCCCCCTCAAAGCGCTGTCTCGCTCGCTTTCTCCCCCCTCTCTCGGGTCATGAGAGCCCGACTCTCGCAGATGGTTGCAACATGTTTCAGCCATTTCGCTGCAGTTTGTTTTGTTTGCTGGTTCTTGTTCTTTTATTATTTTTTGTAAATCAGGAGGGGTTTGGGGTAAACGCTGGGGACGGACACGCCTGGTGTCGAAATGTCCTGCCTATTTACGTAGTTGCCTGGCAATGACTGGCGGCCGGGCCTGATCCCGATCCCGCCCTGCCCGGCTCTGCAGGCTCAAGGTGGTGTGTTGGCCGATGGCCCTTTCCTTCTCCCTTTACCTTTCCTTCTCCTTTTCCCTTTCCTTCTCCTTTTCCCTTCCCTTCCCCGTCCTGGGGACTGCATGGAACAGGTCTACAGACCTGGTGAGGGAGAGGTGGCTGCAAGGTGTGAAGGAAGCAGAATCACACATCGTTTTTCCCTCGTCCTCTCTATAGCCTTGGCACAGAAACACGTGGAAGCAAGGTGGTAGTATTTTTGTTAGGATAAAATCAGCCATATAAAACCTGCTCCCTTATAAAATCTGCTCCCATTTCACCCTGTTTCAGGTTTTGTAGGGTTAGCACTGGCTGGGCGCTGAGATTGGCACATCTGGGCCTACTGGTCCTCAACCACCACCAGCGACCCTGAAACCAGAAATTCCCATTTCCTGCAAGCCCTGGGTGGATCAAGGCCTGGACTGGCCACACCAGTGCCCCACCATGACCAGATGTTGCTGTGACACCCATGGTGGGTGATTCCAGAGACAGGGATGCGAGGGGCATGGGTGGCTGGGCCAGGGTGGGCAGGTGGCTGCTGCCTGCAATGCCATCAGCCTCTGAAGCTGACCTTCCTCTTGCTGAGGGCTGGTAGTGTATGGAAGCACGCTATATTTTTCATTTTTTTATTTTCCAATGGAGTTGAGTTTTCTTTCTGTTTTCCTAAGGCAGGAAGCAAGGCACGTGCAGTGTCTGCCAGTGCCCCCCACCCCCAGCAGTGGCTTTTGAAGTTTGGCAGAGGGTGCATGTCTGAAGGATACACACATTTCTGCACGTTTCACGACTGCGAGCGAGCGAGGCTGTTCTCACGCCAGCTGAGGGAGACACGTCAGGTCCCGCAGGCTTCCCTCAGCCTCCCGCCGCCCACGCACCGCGCTGCAGAGCAGCCTGGGGGTGGGAGAGACATCAGCCCTGTGAAATACCAGGGGCTCCTCGGGAACCAGAGCCTTCAGTGTAAGGCATGAAGCTGTACTGAAGAAATTGAGGCTTCTCAGAGTAATCCTCTCATCCCACCCCACTGAGTCAGCCCCAGTTTTCTGACAGGAGTTTTGGATGTTCCAGCGCTATGGAACATCCCAGACTTGGGGTTCTTAAGTGCCTGTGAGAGTTTTATCAGCACCAGAAATGGGTAGGAAGTAGCCTCTGGAAAACAATCACATTTTTAAGGATACTGAAGATAATTGTAGATGTTTTCATATTTCACAAAGTTTAGAAAACTGCCTATATTTGAGGTGCCTGTTTGGATCTTGCTAGAGGGTGACACTAGTTTCTTACTGCTTACTTCCCAGCATTCCTTCAACATATATATTGATGTCTACACTAAAAAGGCAAAAAAATATCAGCTCTGCTCTAGCCTTTGCACCATGGATTGTCCAGTGAAGCAGTGTTAGTGCTGCAAAAGAGAATGTGATGTTTGCCATGCAGACATGATTTGAAGTATGTTCTCCTGGCACGTGTAGATTTTCCTGCCATGGCTTCAGAAAATACGTGAGAGCAACCATATAGCCAGAGGAACATTGTTTCCTTATTCTTTTTCTAATTTTTCCAGAAGTCATAAAAATAAGCATTACCTGCCCTAGAGAGCTAAAAGTCTGGGCTAGGAATGTGACATGTTGCCTTGGTCTTTGCTGTGGAGGGTACCCAAGGGAGAGGGTCAGCATCCGTGATGACAGCAGCTGAAATTGTCACAGTGAAGTGCAAAACTCCGAAGCTTGCATTTCCTTGGCAGTGCTTATTTAAGTTGTAGACCCAAACCAGTTCCCACATTTGCACTTGCTCCTCCTGTAAGGATTTCCCTCTGGGATTTTTTGAGGAAAGTTGTGTTTAGTGTTTCTGTAGAGAGAGCAGCACTTAGAGCAAGTGTTCTTGCACACTTACATTCATCTCACCCCATGGCAACAGCATTCCTTGGGATCTCAGCATGTGCATCCTCACAACAGCTTGCAGATTCTGCATCCACTTACTCCCATCCTGCAGATGGATATCAGTAACACCAGGGAGCTCAAGGGATTCAGCCAAAGTACACAGGAATTGTTTGGAAATCAAGAAATACCTGTCTGTCCCCACCCCTTGTGATCTCAGCTTTGTCTTAATCTCTACCCATGCCATTCCAGAAATGCCGTGGCTGGCAAATAAAAAACCTTGTCCTTGTGTCTTGTGCACCAAGGAAGGTGAGGTTTCTTTCTCATCCTAATGTTTTCTGTTTTAACAAGGTAGACAAATAAAACTTTGATCAAAAGAGCAAAAATATTCTCCTCCTCTCCAGAAGCAGCAGAGAGCACAGCCATGCTCGTGTTGCAGTCTCTCTCTCTGTTCATGACAGAAGGTTTCTAATCAAAAGCAGATAGATGGTTAGTGTGTGTGTTTTGGGACAGCGCATCCTGACAAGTCTTCCTGCTGGAAAACAGATGAAATAAATACCTGATGGATTTTGCAATCAGCTGCAGGAAAACACAGATGAGCTAAGCCCAACAGCCTTCCCCTTGTCCCCTTGCTTCTGTGGGAGGATTTTTAGGGGACTTTGGCCATTGCTTCAAACTTGGGTGCTCAGGCCTGTCTCTACTGACCTGCAGAAGAATTTGCTCCCCTTCATTGATGCTCTCCCTGCAGGTTTCCAGGAATGGCCATGGCCAGCAGCAGCTGGATGTAAGCAGGATTTCTGGGTGGCGTCCCCTGTCTCCGTGGCAGAAGCAGAGGAAGAAGCTCTCAGGGTGTGGGAATCCTCCCAAGGAAGCTGGAAGGGGGTTCTTCTCAGGAGCTTTAATCACTGAGCACCCACCCACAAAGGTTATTTGCTGAATTAATGCACATTGCAGAACTGGGTGTATAAGGAGAGGAAGGAAAAAGAATGGTTTAAGGAGTTCCCTTGACATTTTTTGGGAGCAGTCCAGGCTCTGTCCCTCTAGGAAGGGCCTCCTTACTTTATTACAAGCAGAAATACATGCAGTGGCTCCAGCTGGTTATCAGTAATCTCCTGAATAGTCAGAGGTGCAGGGGGGATATTAAATTCTTGACGTTTTCTGGCAATATCATGAACTGTCTTGGAGCTGCAGTGTCTTTCCAAATGAGGTTGGGCACAATCTCTGCTCTGCAGCAGCCTCTGTGCCAGAGAAGGGATCAGGCTACAGGTTTCTGAGGGTATTTCAGTATGCTGAAGCATTCCTTTCCTCTAGTTCTTCAACACAGGAGACCAAGCAGGTCATTTTTCTGCCCTATGCCTAACTGTATTGGCAGGATAAGCTAACTAGAAAAGTCAAAGGAAGCAAAATGAAACTCAGCAGCACAAGGCATCATAAAATACAGGGATAATGGGCTCTTTTGGGTCTTTTTCCAAAAGCCAAGAATCTTCAGCTGAGCAAAAACAGCACCCTGAAGTACTGCTTTTGGAGGAGGATGTTTTTTAAATAATCTGTTATATTTCCAGCAGTGTGGGGATTTCTCTTGGGAATTCCCATCCACATGCCACTGCCGGCATTGCTTAAAAGATGTTCAGCATGTCCTGGGGTTAATTTATCCCAGGGGCCATTGCTACAGACAGAGCTCTGCTGTTGTAACAGCTTCTCTCTCCAGCCAGGGCTGCTGAGGGAGGAGGAGGAGGAGGATGAAGTCACTTTTCCTACTTTTTTAATGCCAAAGCCCTCATCCCCTTGGTGCCTCCTACCTTGATCCTGTGAGAGCAGGGGTTGTGCGTGGGTGCCCAAGCTCAGCTTTTGCTTACACCCTGCAGTGGGGTGTAAGCAATAGCCTATCTAAAAAAACCTAGAATTTTTTGCAGGTAAAAACATAAGCTATCAAATAGTTGTGTCTTCTGCCTGACCAAATTATTTCACTCAGGTATTTGGAGTAATTTTTTGAGGTCATGTTACACAGGAAGGAAATAAGGCTGCCTTTTAAATATTAAGTTGATTTGGGAGATAAAGAGGCGTTTATCCATTCAGAGTTTAAACTAATAGGAAAAACATTTTTGAAATATTCTGAAGCAAGGCCTTTGAAGAGTTTAGTGGCTGATGATTTTGATACAGTTTATTAGAATCCTAATATCCCTTCTCCAAAAGGCAGACTAAATACATTAAATAACAAACTTTAAGAAAGCAAACCTGAAGTTTCCTTGCCCATGTTGTTCCTTTCATTAGATTCATGCAGTTCATTTCATAGATAGTCTGATGTTAGCAATGGAACTAAAAAAAAACCAAAAAACACCAAGAACTTTGGAGGTTGTAGCCTCCAAATGAATTTAGTGACTTTTAATTCTCATCTGACACCCAATCCAAAACCTACAGAAGTCAATAGAAAGATTTCCATTTACTTCATTGAGCTCTGGATTGAGATCTCAGTTTCTCCACAGAAATCTGTTCTTGGCATGGTGCTAAACTGAAGGCTATTGAATATAGAGGATTCGAATTCAAAGTGTTTTCTAGTATTTTCACCCAGGTACTTCAGAGACCATCAAAACAGCATCTTGGTGTATGAGGCATTGCAAATTTGTTTCTGAAAAGTCAAGTTTGTGTGTTTGCTAGGGATTATATTGAATAGAGGCATGATCAGCCAATGCATGTGGCCTGCGAGGTGGAGCTGTACCCCAGTGCTCAGCTGAGTTGTGCTTTGTGAACACCAGGGTGAATTTTGCACAAGGAACCAGTTAACTGGAGATGCTCAGAGGGGGAATAAGGGATTGCAGTGTGATTTGTGCTGCTGGAGTGCAGTCATTCACTTTACTACCAAACCTACTGAGATATCCTCAAGTTGAAGCATGTCTGAGCAGGCTCTTCAAGGCCAGCTAATCCAAGGGTCAGGTTTACAAAACTGTTGAGGTAAGCAGAAGACAGATGCTTTGCAGGGCATTTGACACCTCTCCTTCACAGGTGCTTCTCTGTCAGGGGACCACTCAGCAGCTTTGCAGCCTGGCTGGTGTAAATCTGACTGTGCTGTGCTGCCCTGGTGAGTCACCATCCCAGGGCAGTCATCATTTAAACTGACTGTGACCAAAGGTCCCGGGCAAAGGACACTTGGCCACCCCTGCACAGCATCAAGTTCCTGACACCGGTGTGAGAGCTCCAGGTTTTCTCTTTCCGTCACGTCAGTTATGCCTGTTGGAAAACCAGGACTCAGCAGGCTTGGCTGATTTTTGTGACCTGTTGAAGAGGAAAAAGGGTGCAAACCTCAGGGAGAGACGAGATGGCGGTGAGCTGACTGTCAGCCTTTCCAGCCTGGCGCTGCTTTGGCACCAGACCCAGCTCGCTCGTGCAGGGGCTGCAGCTGTCAGAGCAGCAGCAGCAGCAGCGTGTGTGCTGTGCTGGTGCAGCTAATCGCTGCTCTGAGGACTTGCCTACATGGGAAAATTCACCAGTGTAATTATCCCACTGTAATTATCCCAGGATAACTCTCCCTGTGGATGTGCTTAATATAACATAGGGTATGTATGAATATATGGCAAATCTTCTGCACAGATGGGGTTTAAGTTACATAGAGGAGGAATGTTTACATTGCAGCCCAGCAGCAAAGCACAGTTTATATCCTACTTCCCAGCAAATGTTACACCCAGAATTTTCTGTGCCAGAGGTACTTTCAGGGGGAAGTACGTATCATTTGATCTGATCAGCAAAAATGAAAAGCCTCAACCTTGCCCTGTAAACATGGGGCACAACATTTGCTTTTACAGAATCACTGTGGAAGCCAGGGTAAAGGCTGGGAAACTGCTTGGTACCTCTCTGTGATCCTGTTCAACTCTTTTTTTATAGAGTGGTCATTTAAATTTGTTGTTCATTTGACTTTTTTGTTCAAAACATTGTGACTGAAATTGGGAGAAACCCTTGGATCTCTAGAAGTTCTTCATATACATTGTGATTTTGACTTTTTATACCAGGCTTTCAAGGCCAGATTCTTTCAAATGTTGTCATTCCCATTGCTTGAGTGCTTAGTCTCCTCTCCTCTGATAACTCTCCTACTTGGGATTTTAACTTCTTCAATCTGATATAAGGTGAATGGCTGGGGAAATGATGAGCACCAAGGGTGTTTTTCTATACTCCATGGTAAAGAAGAGAATTTGCTGGGAGGAAGCTGAGCTGCACCCTGTAAGAGGACAAAGGTGGCTGCACTTCCTGCTCAGCATTCACCCATCACTGCTGCTGTCATCCTAACTGGGTGAAGCTGAGGTGTTCATCATCAGGAGTCACTTGGCCAGATCAGATTTACTGGGATAGCAATCCCAAAAGGAAGTGATCATTTTGTTTTGGGCCCAAGTCAGTTCTGAAGGAAAGAGGAAAAAAATCCAACCAATAATTAATCTCTTTAAATTATCTTTTAATTTTCAACAATTCAAAATAATGAGAGTCATGTGATGGTAGACTGGAAGAAACAGTACAATAAATTAAGCAGCACTTGGAAACAAGATTTCAAGTTGAAATTACTCAGCTAAGTGTGTCATAAAGTTTAGATCTGATGCATCAGCTGTTATTAGAAGGTCAGGAGTGAAATAAATGCAAGTAGTTGTGTTGTCTGAATTATGCCTAAACCAAACCTCCAGACCTAAGTCTGATCTACTGTCAGGTACCAGAATTACTTCTGAGAGACAGTTCATCTGCTTTTGTTCCCCTCCAGTGTCAGCGGGAACAGTAGGTTTCAGAAATCACATAAAAACATTTGATTTGCGCAACACAATTTCCAAAACTTAAACTGCTATTTCTTTTCCAGCATCTGAGATAGAGTTATTTTAGGATTATTGCCCATGTGAAACAGTACCATGTTCACAAGACTCCTTTTTCTTGTTTTCCAGTTTGCTGAGAAATCCTGGCCTTGCAGTAAGGCAGCTGACTCACTTCCGGTTCAACAAAAAACTTTGGAAATGGCCTCTGTGTCAGGTTAGTGCAAATTATAACTCCCTACTAGCTTCACTCCAGCTAACCCTCTACTTTCTTGTTTTGCCAAAAGTCAGCCAGACCTTTCTTGCTGTTTTCTGCCATCTTTTTAAAAAGCATTAAAGATTATAAAGAATACATATTGCTCTTCAGTATTCCAGCTCACAGTCAGTGAAGGATGATGGATGACAGGATTTGACTCTGTGGCTGTCCATCTCCAGTGATACTTCTCTCAATTTTTCAGGCACTTTTGTGGGTCGAAGCATACCAGTCGAAGTGGATGAATCCCTGCCATTGTCCCAGTTACCTGAACATGTCTTGGAAAAGGCTTTGCAGCCTTCTGGAGAGGATATGGAGGATGAGGAGGCCCAGAGCTCACGTGTTGCTCGAGCACCTCAGGGCAATCTCTCTAGCCTTTGCAGAGCACCAGCACATCATCATTCAGCACTGTCCGTGGAGCCAGACAGCAGCTTGTGGTCAAAATATACTGATCCTGATGGAGGTGGACACTCCTGTTCCCCTGGTGAATCAATATCAGGAGTATTTCCCTCAAAGACACATTCTATAGCTATGGACAAGCCAGGCATGCAGCCAAGATCGCAGCTTTCAGCTGACACCAGGCACAAGTCCAGTAAACCAGAGCAGATCTTGTCTGATGTTCCTGAGGACTCACTGGAGGAGAGCAGCCAAGGGAGTTCACAGCCACAGCAACCCTCAGGAAACAGACTCCTGGCAGAGCTGGGGACTGTAGATACCGGGTACAACTCCCAGTCCCAAGACGTCATGGGCATCAGGCACCTGGAGCCCCCGTTACCGCTGGTGTCTGTGCTGAACCCCCAGGACCTCCCAGGACCACTGATCTCCAGGGAGTTTTTGGGCCCTGAGCACCAGCAGTGCCCTGTGTGCCACCACTTGCCCCATCCCAACACGCCCTCGCAGGCCCTCGGCTGCCCCAGGCACGGCTGCCCGGCACAGCAGCCCCCGCCAGGCCCATGTGAGTAGCACCTCTCGCCCACAGCAGGTTCTCTGCCTGTGTCTCAGCCATCGGTCACTAAGGGCGTGTTTCCAGCACAGCATGCAATTGTTGAGCTCTTTAAACATCTAATTGCAGTCCATTTTACAGTTTCAGATTTTTGGGTTATGTGGCTGGGCTCTCTGCTGCAAAACCTCTGAACCTCTTAAGTTAAAGAGGTCGCGGTTACTCATCGAGTGCAGGCGAATGATTTTGCTTAGAAACCAGCCTTTGTCGGTCACGCTGAGCATGCACAGCCTCTCCCTGCTGTTATTTCATATTCTAGTCATTTCCTTCCTCCTTGCACCAGTCATTCGGCAGCCTCCTATACCCACTCAATTCCTGTTGTTTTCATAGATGTCCCTGCTCCCCCTTGGATCCCCAAAGTTGAGAATTTCCTGCCAGGATCAGGATGGGAGGTTACCCTTGATCTCCATAAATAGTCTCTCCCAGCACTATGACCAGACTCACCCATGAGTTTTATTTCTATGTGAAAAGAGCGTGACATTCATCATCCTAATTTTTTTTTCTGTTGTCAGCTGAAATGAAAGCTCATTACTTAAAATGGAGCCCTCTCAGCTGCTGGTGATTGTGTTGCTGAACGCTGATGTGACTCCCTCAATATGGGCGTTCTGGCTCTGGGAGACTACAGTGCAGTTTGCAGCCTGCTATTAATTAGTATTCCTTTTCAGTCTCTGAGATTTTTATCTGTTATGAAGTGAGCTTTGAACATTCAGCAGCAATATCATTGTTTTAATATAATTTATATTACATTAGGCTCATGAGACCCTGACCTGTTTTGGGCCGGCTTTGTAATAATAAGCTGTAGGCCTGTTCTGATAAACCTTTTTTTGTTTTTTAACCTTTTTTTTTGACTCCACAGCATTTATATTGCATCTGCTTAAGTTTTGTTATTTCAGCTATGTGCTATAATTAGGTATATGAAAGAGAAGGGTTTCAGAAACTGGCTTTCCAGCTCTGATTTTGCAACTCTGCAAAGGGGAAGGGGCTACAGATGGGCTTTCAACATCTACAGCTTAACATTTGGAAAATGTGCTTTGGTTTTCCTTTCCTACCTTCTCCTTTCAGTTCAGCTCTAAGCAGACAAAGAGCTGGTTGCACAACACCCCTCACTATTTACCTCAGTTTACCTCCTCCACAAGCAGGCATCGTGAGAAGTAGGACATTTACTGAATGAGGACATTTTGTTTGAAGGCAGAAACTCTGAAAGGCTTTCTTCAGAAAAATCACTACCATTCCAGCCATATCCAGAGGGCAAAAAGAGTAAAGTAAACTCAGATGGCTGGAGCAGATTTGGTCAGGACCAAGAAGCTGGCAACTGTACTCCCGTTTCTCACATGCCTGCTGCAGCGTAAATCACCTCCTGACAGCTCCGTGTGTCTCAGATAATTGTTGGGCAGTGGCAACCCACAACAAAGCTCTGCACCTCCCCTGGGGAATAGCAACTGTGCCCGGAGGCTCTAAGCTGGCTGGGGCACCTGCTATTTGAGATACAACAACAAAACTGCTTCTTGAAGTCAGAGAAATGTTCACAGCAATGCCGTGTGCCCGGGGACCATAATTTCAGATATTTGTCTTTCAGGGATGTGGGGGTGTGTGGGCACACACGGCTGGCCACGCTGTGCTTTGAACTGTGGCTGCATCCAATACACCGTAGCAGCAGTCAGATCTAAAGGAAACTGGGGAAACATTGGCCTTAAAGCCTCCAAACCAAACCCTGTGTCCCAAATCCCTGTCACTTCGCCTAGAGCTGGTCATGAGGGATCCAGGAGGAAACCATATTGACTTGCAGTATCATTCTCCCAGTCCCTTTCACCCTGTCCTGTTGCAAATAGTTAAGAGAGGGGTGGGAAAATCTCCTGAAACAATCTCAACAAATACAATGTTGCTGACTCACAATTTCATCAGTAATCTGTGTAATTATGGGGGTGGTTGGAGGGATTTTTTTCTTTAGTGTTGGCTTCTGGAATTGGAGTATTTCATTAAAGCTTTGTTTTCTTTCTTTATCCTCCCCTTAAAAAAAATAAAAAAGATAGATAGTCCTCATGGCTGCTAGGGAAAGGAAGGCATGACCCAAAAATAGCTAAAAGGATTTTAGAAACCAGTTTTGGGGGAAAAGAGCATTTGAGTACTGCAGCTTTTAGAGACAGCTCATAACACCATAATCATGCAGTGCTAATAAGCCCTGCCAGGCTGGACTTTGATCTGCACACAGCAGCTTGGAAGTGCACAGAGCTGCTGCCTAATGAAAACCACAAGCAGAAAGACTGAGAGGAAAAAAAAAATTCCTTTTCCCCAATTGGGAAACAAACAGCTTACATTGCTTTCTCTTTCAGTTTATGCCAACAGTTCCACTGTACAATAGTTATTAATCAGTATTATGTGTGGCTAGCAACAGTAAAGGTTTTCAGAATTACTTGAGCAAAATTATCACTTTGGGCTTCCCCTGCAGCCTCTCGGATGGCAACGGGAGCAGCAGCAAGTCCTTAAAACATCACTTTGACAGAAAATTCACACAGGGTGAAGCAACAAACTAAGCGATTATTTTTCCTCTTTTCATTTACAATAATCACAGTCTGTTTAGCCTTAGTGTTGCAAACTGATTTGTTCCAGGATTTTGCATCTGCTTTCATGAGAACTTTGGGATGATTCATTTTCACAAGTCATTGCCAAAATGAAATTAAAAAAAAAGACCCTACCAAAAAACACTGAAGCACAGTAAGAACAGGGACAAGGCAGCTCTGAATGTTTAACTGTCAGCTGTCCCAACAGCCCAGCCCCGAGCAGGGATCTGAACCCTGCCGTATGTGGATGGGAAATAGCAAGCTTCAGACTCCTCCAAAACATTCCTTCATCTGGCTCCTTTCAGAGCGAGATACCTGCAAATGCCTCCAAACTGCTCAGTTTCCTGAGACATGCCTGGAAAGGAATAAACACAAACTGAGGCAAAAATGTGTTGGCTGAAATGATAGTTGCTGCCTTTATTTTCTCACCCTCCCAGATGGCAGAGCTCCTTACCAACATTTTGCTGAGCCATCGCAACCACTTCCTCCTGTTCCTGGACCTTGCATGCGAGTTATCCGCCCGGCCCAGCAAGTCATCCCCAATTACTCAAACCTCCGTGCTCCCAAAGGCACTGGAGAGCGACCACCCCAGAGGACGTGCTCCTCCCCTGGTCCTCCTCCATTCCCGTAAGTATGCCTGGGGGCGTGGGGGCTGTGGGAAGTGCAAGTTCCTCTGATCTGCTTTTGTGGGTTTTCAACCAGTAATTCTGAATCCTTGTCCTGTGAGCGTGCCCAGGCTGCAGGAGTACACGTGAGATGCTGGGTTGTTTTCTTTATTTGCTGTTTTACACCCAATGGGGGCCTCACCCTTTCCTAAAGGACTTCAAAGCCGGATACCTGAGAGGTTGTCAGAGCACACCCTGAAATGCATGCCTTAAGGAAGATAAATGCTTGAAGGTTAAATGGATGAGGGGTTGAAAAATATCTCCGTTGAAACCTTAGAGCTCTCCTGCTCACGGGCAAAGGTCAGTTTGGTGGCTTGCTGGGTGTTCAGCTTTACACTGTACCAGCCTGGGACAACTCAATCACTGGCTTCCAGTGACTTCCTTCTTACATCTTCTGTGGTGCAGAGAAAAAGGGAGGAAATCCCATCAGTTGCTGATATATCTCTGCACTGCAGTTTGCAGCCTTTTCTATGATTTTTCATAGCAAAATGTCTGGCACTTTTCATCCAGGGCTTTTTGACTAATACATTTTCAGATATTAATTACCAGGCCTTCGATCATTATAAGTATCTCATTAGCAGATGGGAAATCCTATTCATGCAGGATTGAAGAACAAATTGAAGCTTCAAGTTGTGAGAATATCTGAAATCAGACTGTTTTTATTCAAGTGCCACAATACTTGTAGAGGTGTTAAACTTGCAGGCATCTGTGCTTGAAAATGTCCACTTACGTGACATGGTCTTGGCAGGGAACTGTGAGAATGTGAAGGACAAAAGAGGGCAGACAGTTGAAATATCATTCTGCTCTGGCCTTTGAAAAATTAAGGACTGTAACAGAAAAGTGACAGCAGGATCAGGGAGTGCCTGCAGCAGAGAGAATTGCACTGAAGAGTTTGTATGAAAATGTAAAAATATTGGGAGATAGTGGGTATCCTTTGCAGTAGTAAAATTTAAAACCAAACTCCTGATTTTTGGCACATTTGTTAAGTAAGGTGGAGTTTTGGGAAGATCTGTAACTTAGCCACCAGGTAGTGTTTTTTGTGGCCATTGATGAGGCATGTGTTGCTTTTGCTAGTACTTTCTTGTGCTAAAAGGGATCCAGAATACTCAGAGTCTGTCCTGTGGCTGCGTGGCTGCTGCTTGCAGGCTGACTCCAGGAACAGCAGTTCTATGCTGGTAATGTTTGCCTATAGAGTATTTTGTAACAGAAAACATCTGCACCGAAATGAATAAACCAAATCTTAATGTGACAACAGAAAACATGCTGCGACCAGCCTGTCATCATTCATTTAAGGGAGGCTGAGGAAAAAAAGAGAGTGGTCTTGATTGACTAAGCATCATGGCTCTGTGGGGAAAAGCTCTCAGGGAAACCTAAAACTCATCCAACAAATTCAACCCAGCAGACTGCAAGCACACCTCACATAAAAATCTCTATAGATTCACCTTCCCGTTGACTTAAAATCTGAAGCCAAAGTGTAGGACAAAAACTGCTAAGGTTCCTAAAATCCTCCCTCTCTGTCTGTTTGCTACAATGGAGAAGACATTAGGCAAGGTTATTGCAGGTCTGGAATGCCAGTCCCTGACATGAGAAACTCTTGCTTGGGTCTGTCATTGCTGCTCAAGAAATTAACTTTCTTCCCTTTGGCAAAACATTGGGTTTGTCCAAGGCTGGAGGCCCTCCAGAGCTGGATCTGGAGCTGGAGTGCCCTTGTAGACCCATTTTCCCAATTTCCAGCTTTCTCTGAGCCTCTTGCACTGCACAGGACTATGAGAGCATCTGAGGTGCCATGAAGGGTTCTTTAGATAATGGGAAGACATTACCCAAGGGCCACCCTGCTTCCATACGTGCATAACAACATCCATGACATGCCACTATTTCTCACTCAGAAACAGCCTTTGCTCCTGCTAATTGCAAACTGAACAGCTTTCAGCTATGATGTGCCTTACTTCCTGTGATTAATGTTTCTCTGATAAACTGCTTCTTGTGATGGCCTGTCACCAAGGTATCCGTTCCAAAGACACTGTAATAACTAAGCAGATGTGCTGAGCCAAGCATTTCTGCAAGAACTTTTCATAGCTAATACGCAGATAAAGTTCTTAGTGTGTTATTAACAGGAGAATAAATTCTGAATTTTGCCTAAAAATAAGTATTTTCCAAATCCTCCATTGCTTTTCTTTGTAGAAACCAGCTATACAACCAGCCACCCAACGGTCAGCTGCCCCCCAAGGCCTGTGGACCAGATGAAGCATGTGGTTGTCCTTCTGACAATTTTCCATCTCCAGCTGCTGTCCCAAGACCTCTCAGCAACCCTGCAGCCAGGGGAACTCTGAGAACCAGCAATCTGCCGGAGGAGTTGCGTAAGTGGTTAGCAAATTTGTTCTGTGCAAGATTTTACAGCATGGCCCAACAGCTTTAGGTGGGAGAGCTCCAGAGTGGTTAAGGGGGGGAGGAGAAGGCAGGGGAAATGACAGTAAGACAACAAGAAAAGAAAATACCAAGTGTCACCACATCTCTTGGGTGTGAGTGTCTGTGTTTGGTGGGATGGAATTACCCCCTTGAATCCTGAAAACAGAGTGGTCATTAATTGCTTGTTATTTTGTTTACAAAAGTTAATACTGTTCAGATTGTTTTCATGACTCCTTGCTAAACAGGATGTCCCTTTGAGGCAGGAGGGGCTGGAGCTTACAGTAAAAGACTAAAAACAAACAAAGCCTGGGGGATAAAGTGTTTCTGCCTGTCCCAAACCAGACAAATATGTTGAACCCTGACCTCAGTTTCTCCCTGAACTGGTGAGTTTGGAGAGGGCTCTGGGACATGCTGAGGCCAGCACAGGCTCTGACTGACATGCCTCTATTGCCACCAGCACCATAGATGCATTCACCTTCAACTCCTAGGGGAAAGTTAGGTTTCAGAAAAATAACTTATTACTGAATGCCAATCTGACTAGTACGTGAGATGTACCATTGCTGAGAACCCTCCACAGCTCTCCTGAGGTTTTGATTTTTCCTTTATTCTTCATTCTGCATATCACCTTTCAAATCCAGAGAGTCACACCTTTTCTGGCCTGCAGGGGAGTGAGTGATGATACCAGATGCCACTCTTGGATAAACCCTACTTTATCAGTTAGTGTGTCCTAGATGGAGGAATTACTGGGTAAAACAGGGTCATCTGTGGTACGTGCACAGCTGGATTAGATCAGCCAGCTGTTTTACCCTGATGCAAAGCCATGAAAACCCCTCCCACAAGGGCAAGGGTGTTGCTGTCACCAGCCATGCATCCTGCCTGCACAGGGTGTTAATGCTGCTCCAAGGACAGGCAGTGTGAATGCATAAGGGCCCCTCCAGCTCTGTCATATCAGTGGCTCTGGGGAAAGCTGTGCTGGCTGCAGCCAGTGCAGGCAACTCCAGCTGTGGGTGAGAGCCCAGGCTCAGGTATGCCCAAGCATGGGAGAAAGCAGCTCTGGCCACAGGGCAGGGGGAGCAGCAGAGGGATTTACCCTCTACAGCTTGCCAGTAAGGCCAGGAGGAGCTCAAATGTAGAGCAGGGCTTTGTGACAGGGGGTTGGTTTCAACACTGAGCCACTGAACTATCCCACATCCATTTTGTAAACAATCCAAAGAGACCTAAGTGGGCAGAACCTGCAGCGTGGTGGAGAAGGAGGGCTGTGACAGTCTCAGCCTCTGTATGGTGTATTTAAAGAGGGCTGTGACAGTCTCACCCTCTGAATGGTGTATTTAAATGTGTTATGTATTCATACAGACTCTCTCTCCCAGGCAAGGTTTTTATAACCTACTCGGTGGATACGGCAGTGGAGGTTATGAAATTTGTGAACTTCCTGTCTGTAAATGGATTTCAAACTGCTGTAAGTATTCCTTCCAGAAAAAATAGCTTTCAACCAGGGAAGAGGTTTTTTTAAAAAAAGCAGAAGCAATACACTGTCCATTTAAATGTTTTTCTGGTTATCATCACATTTTGTAGGCTAAAGAAGATACAGATAGGACGAACTAGCCTCAGTTTTGCAAGCTGTAACTTAAATGATCTGCCTCTTTCTTTGTTCTTTTAACTGAATTTTGTACTTTGAAATATGCTTTTATAATGATCCTGGAAAATTTCACTTAATGACACCAGATGGGCAATTAATATGAGGTTTTGTGAGCTATTCCATTAATATTGTCTCATATTTGATCTGTAATATCAGGATTACAAAAGGTCAATTTTATGTTCTTCCCATCCTACCTTTTATTTTCTCCAATGCTGTTATATCATTGATTCTTCTATATAGATGTGAGTAACTTTCTGCTGGAAAAGAACTAAAAGTAGATTCTAAAATTCACACAACTTAATGAAACAGCCTATCTCATGGTTTCGTTTGCTTTGTTATCCCTTTAAAAGTGATTTTGCTTTGTTATACTTTTAAAAGGGATTCTGAAAATCATTGGCCTGAAAAGGTCTGTGTCATACTCTCTAATCCCATAAGCCATTCTGATTTTTACTGAATTTCTCATGAGTTTGCTTCATCTTAGAGGCCCACAGAGGCTCTAGGATTCAGTGTTCATCAAAATCTTGATTCATATTTTCTTATTTCAAGAGCATATGCTACCTGACCCCTCAACCTTCAGTCTTTGGCTCCAATTCAGGAAAGCATTTAAGCAAGTGGCTATCATTAAACTGAATGAGACTCAGTGGGGAGCTTTGCACATGCTTATTTATTTTCATGAATCAAAGATTTTTTTTACAGAGACTGCAATTATGCTTCTCTTCAGCAGTTCTGTACTATGACCAATTCCTAAGGAAGCTTCTGGGCACCATAGCTTTATAGACTAGAAGGCTCATTAATGGCACCTTTGCTGGACAGGCAACACTTGGAGCCTGTTGCAGAGTAACAAATACAGCAAAATGGCCCCAAAGCAGGGAAACAAGTGGGCTCTCTGCATTCAGAAAGGGAAAAAGAAAGACTTGAGACATGAGAGCAGATCATTGCTCCTATCTCAAAAACTTTGAAAGGTTAATCATTACTCCATTGGTCACAGTCACTGATTGCTGGTTCCTGGGTTTACTGGCTGTGCAGAGAAGCCAGCAGGGTTGCTCATATTCAGTCCTGTGAAGTCTGTCACTGAAGTCTGGGTAACTGCACCCGCTTATCAGTGACCTGGCTGACTTCCCACCACACACCCTGAATATTTAGTTCAATATGAAGCTAAAGCTTCCCACTCAGTAGACCCTTGCAGTCAGAAAACAGCAGGCATTTGCAGCTATACAGATGGAGAAGGTGGGCAGCACCTTGTTCTGTCCAGTAAAAAATGCCTGGGAGCTGGGGACTGGCAGGGCAGCCAGCCAAAGGGCCACTGAGTGGGAGCCCAAGGATGTGCCTGCAGCAGCCCCTCTCTGCCTGCTGCCTGTCCAGCTTGATTCAGGCTGCATGGAAAGGGGAGAAGTACATGTTCACATTTTTTTTTCCTAAGGAAATTGGGAATGCTTGTCATAAACAAAGAAAGGAGTAGGTGCTCTATCAGTGCTCTAAAATGGGGAGGAAAGGTGAAGGGATGCTCACTACAGACTTTCATTCTCTTGCAGATTGATATCTTTGAGGACACGGTACGAGGTATTGACATCATTAAGTGGATGGAGCGCTACCTAGGTGATGTATGTAAGGGCAATTTAACCTTGTTTATAGCAGAGGTGACCTGAGGAAAATGGTTGAATTATTCTAATACACAGCAGGGACAGAATGAAAATGCAAGACCTTACTGTTGTTGTCCCTGCCCCTGCAGAAATGGCAGAGGTGTTGCAGAGAGAGGCGAATCTCTCTCACATCTGTATCTGATGGTCCCAGAGCTCTTTCTGTAAGAAATGAAGGGCTAATCCTGGCATTCTTGCAAAATTCTATTGCTGCCTGTTACATCCAGCCTGAAGCTGCTATTGGAAAAGTTATTCCTCCATCCCATTTTTAAATAGTGGGGTTTAGCTGTGCTTGGTTACAATGATACCTGTATTTCATCCCAGGCTGCATAGTCATGGCTAATGTTCATCCCTCTTACCTGTAGCTTTTACACTGATATCTAAAATGCTGAAGGTTTCTTCTGGATAAACCATCCTACATTCAAACTGGAAATTGGTATTCTCTTGGTTGATATACAGATTTGCTCTCATCACTCGGTATCTATCTAGGCAGTAAAACATTGATTTATCTGCTGCCAGTGCTGTTCCCTGCAGCAGCAACTTCCTCTGAAGGTCCCCTGAGCAGTGAGTGCACATCTCCTTTAGGATCAAGCCGAGTGGTTGGACTATACCAGCACAGCTGGGTGCAAACTGGCAATTCTGTCACTGGACAGGAGCCATCATGGGCTGCCTTCCTTGGATTCTTGCCTTGTTGAGTGTCGACTGGGTCTCTGACTCACTCTGGCCAGATCTCCATGGTTCAGGAACAGGATGACAAAAGTGCTGGACCCTCCTCCACCTGAGCAAGGAAACACAGCCATCTGAGGCAGCCCTACACAGGTTTCCTGCAGGTGTCCATGCAGGCAGGATACAACTGCATGCAGAGCCAGCCTGGGACCTCTGCCATGGAAATGCAGTCATGCCTACTGGGGCTTGCATCAGGACAAATTAGGCTGGGGCTCACTGTGTGTAATGTAGGTAATGAAACCAGAAGACAGGGTGACTTTGCTTTTGCCAAAAACATCATTATCACTTAAAATACAAGCTGACAGATCTCCTCTGGGACTTGTGCACAGTCAGTAGGAGAAACCAGTACGTGCAGAGAACAATCTCCTGCCTCCACCTGAGGATCTTTCTCTGACTACCCACCCCAGAAAAGTTTGGTTTCCCTCACTGACTGTAGAGGCAGTTTCTAACTTCAAAACCCTTACATGTGTGTGGAGGAAGGGACTGCTTGGACACAAGCAGAGGAAAGTGTGCAACTGGGCATGTCTCTTGCAAACCCTCAACATCTGTAAGTGCTTACACACATGTCAAGCACAAGCAAAAGTAATTCAGGAGTATGTTGAACCAGTGAAAGGGATAATGGCTCCTTACCATATTTGACCCTATGGTGGGGCAGATTCTCTTGATACAGCACAGAAGGAAAGAGTTAATTACATGCCTGGCAGACTGTAAGATTTGGAAGCCTTACACAGGCTTCATGTGGTGGGGATGAAAGGCAGGCCCCAGGTAAACACAAGTAGGAAGCTTTCATCTGCTGCATTTCAACTGGCCTGCCATTAAGGAGGAGAGATGTTTCCCAGATATAAAGGATGGCCCCTCTCTGGAAACCTGAGCTCAGTGTGGGGCTGGGATTAAACAGGTCAGAGGCAGGATCTGGGCTGTCCTAGCAAGGTGGAGGAGCATTGCCTTCAGCCCATTGTGACAGAGCTGCCAGGTACCCCTAAACCTGCCCAGCCCAACCACAACAGCCCCCTTCTCTACACAGCCACCTCTCTGCACACTTTGCCACTAAGATCAGCAAGAAAAGAGATAATTTCTGCCACTGAGAGCCCTAGAAGTAGCTTCCACAGACCACTGTCTTTAGCAGCTTTTTGTATAAAATGCCATAGATGACTAAAGAGATGCACTTCTACATAAGCTGTTGGAAAACATTTGGGTCTGAATTTAAAGACAAAAGTTTTCTGTGTATGCACATAGACACTCTACACTGATAAAAAGTAGCTTTTTATGACAGGGATTCCAAGTGTCAACTGGTAGCTGCTAATACATCTCTTGACATTTAGATTTTCTATATTGAGCTGTTGAGAAATAACGAGGAGAATGAGTGTGTGAGTTCTCCTGTATTTCCTGCCAGAATGAATGAGATCCTCTTGTATTTGCCAGGAACACAAAGATCACTTAAAACACAAACTGGCAGATTTCCGATCTGCCTCTACCAAACACGCTGCGTTCCTCAATTTCATGAAAGTGCTTTTCTCCCTAACAGAAGACCGTGATGATAATCATAGCAATCAGTCCAAAATACAAACAGGATGTGGAAGGGGCTGAATCCCAGCTGGACAGGGATGAACACGGCTTACATACTAAATACATCCACAGGATGGTAAGCAAGGACATGCTTTTGCTGTTTTACAAAGACTGTCTCTTCTTCTCAAAAGACAAATCTGTCTCCAAATGGCAGGTTCTTTGCTTTGTTTTCCCTAATCCCCATAGTTAAACACCCCTCTTTGGAATTCATTAATCCTTCCTCTCATCAGCTCCGTATGCTCATTAACATCTGCTAAGAGGTTCAAGGAAGAAAAATCCTATTAAACATGCTCATCTTATTTCTTCATATTCTTTATTGCTCGGTGTTTTTCCCCTCCTTCACCTTCTTGAGCCCTTGTACAGCCTTGAGCACAATCGTATCTAACAGTGCCTGACCTTCCTCCTCTAAACCAGCCCCTGTTGCTTCAGCCATCCTGGAGCTGAGATCTTTTCTTAGGCAGCAGTAGAGCTGACTGAAGGATGGAATTGCAAAGCAAAGGCCAGAGATGCAGTGTGGGGCTCCTGGGGAGTGCACAGAGGTGCCAGAGGACCAGACACCCATCTCCACAGCCTGTGACAGGATGTACATTTAGCCCAGAAGAGCCCATAGAGCCATGAAGCTGATCCTTTCTGCCTTGGTTTGCAGCTAGCTGCCTTTCTCAGCCTGTAAGCCATCTGCTCCCCAGCTGGAATCTGCAGTCAGGTTTCTCAGCAGCTGAGCTCTCAGCAGTAGCTGGCTGTCCATACCAGCCCTGGGATGCCTGTGTCCAGGGCCGTGGGGAACAGGCTGGGCCCTGGCTCAGACACAGACCTGGCCTCTGGCTGAAATCTTTCACCCATCTGTAGGCCAAACAGGGATGTTAGTCAAGTCAGGCTGCACCAGTTCGAGATGGATTTCATGCGATTGCACCTGCAGCTAAACCCACAATTATTTCACACCATGAAACTGAATGTTCAAGAAATGTTGACAGATCTTTCCTGTATCCTTTCTGTAGCAATGAAGAATTAGATTAAGTGGCCAAACCAAACAACACCGAGTCCACCAGCAATAGATCAACTCATTTAACAGAAGACAGTTTAAGTAAGCAAGGAATGTTTTTATACATAGGGTTCAGATGCATGCAGAGAAAAACTGTTGTGTTATTACAATAAAACTGGCTTTTTGTTCTGTTCTAGATGCAGATTGAATTTATACAGCAAGGAAGTATGAACTTCAGATTCATCCCTGTGCTTTTCCCAAATGCCAAAAAGGTAACATACATGCATGCTTATATACTTTCCACATGATTAAGTGCATATTATTTTGATCACAGTGCAGCAGATGGAATCTTAAAACCAAAACACTCAATTTCTTGGTTCTTAACAGCCTGCAAGTAATATTCAAAGCTTATAGGTTTATGTATTCCAAAGTTCATAGGTTTGTGTACATGCAAATAAAAAACATTTCATCCACAACATAAATCAGCATATAAATGTATTTCTGATTATGAATGTACAGCTAAAACTCCAATTGCCTTGTGCACTGAAAGAATTTAAATGGAGAGGGGCAATCTATCCAGGAAGCATGCTTTTTATATTAATCCTTTTATAATTTGTCCAAATGCAATGCTGATGAGTGAGATGGGCAGGATTTATGACTGATGTGAAGAGAGGGTCTGGAAGAGGGTGTGTTGAGAAAATAAAAATAAAGAGTATAATAAATACTAAAGTACTAGGCTGTTTCTTGAACTGTGACGGGCCCATCAAAGGCAAACTAAGATTTTTTAGGACTTGCAATTTCATCTGCCCTCCTTACTTGTTTTGAAGATTCATTTGAGAATAAGAAATAAGTAATGCAACAGGTTCCTATCTCTTCTACCTCACTCAGAAAATCTCTTGGATTTTTACAAAGAAAAAAATATTAAAAGACCTCAGTTATAGTTTTCCCAATCTCCTGCATTGTATCCATGTTTACTTTGCATAACTAAATGCTTTGTGCACTGTTGGTTAGCTATCATGTTGCCCCTAGGTACAGCTGCATTTTTAAAAAGTGTAGTAAAATACATTATATTTCTTTGGGTGCCCAAATTTTCTATCATCAAAATTTAAACAATGTTATCAATGGTTTAAATTTTATCAAGGCTGTGCAGTCCCACCACACTTGTGGAGTTTAGTGTAATGAAGTTTTTTATTTAAGCAGCAATTTAAGGTCAGAAATTTGAAAATATGTCCCTGGGTTTGTAAATTATGTGAGGTCCTGTGGGTTGAACAGTACCTCTGGTATTTCATGTCATTCAGATCCCTTCCTGAAGGATCTCAGTCTGCTGTTTACCTTAAGTAAGTACCTGGGAGACAGCAATGGTGGGAACTGGGCAGGCCAAAGGCAGAGAAGCACTCAGCATTTTTTCAGCCAGGGTTTGATGGGGGAAAAGGGCTCCTGACCTTGGGGCTACTTGAGTGCCCACCATGTGAACAGACCACACAGTCTAGAGCCACTTGGCACCTTAAGGCTGCAGAGAAAAGTGTTCCAGGAGGCACTGTAGCTGTTTTGGGGCTCTGAGACAGAACAGTAAGTTATGTTAATTTGGGCTCAACTTTATTTCTTAGAAGACTCTTTAGTGTATAGCAGCAGTTCTCTCAGACAGTGGTCTGTAAGGAATTTCCAGGGTTGGTTTATCCAGCTGCCTCTATCAAGGCATCAGGCTCCTGGAATCCTTCCTGTCCCTCCTCTGTAGTCCACATAACCCTTCAGTTTTTCAAGAGGTGCCATTTTCATTAAATTATGCAGATCAGCATTTTCTACTGCTGTTAAGCTTTAGTCTCTTTCTCAGCATAATCCTTTGGTACATCACCTACCTTCATCTAGCTGCTTAATGGTAATGTAACTGAGGACATCATGGGTGGAAGGAGAGCACCAGAGCCTGAACAAGTTGCAGTAATGAAGTCTGGAGGCAGTCAGAGGAAGTGAGGTACCTAAAAAACTGCCAAGTACATGGACAATTGGATGATGTTGGCAGGCAAATGACTTCAATTTTGTCTTTTTTGTACTGTCCTTTATACGTTCAAGTGTTAGCATAGCTGGCAGTGGAAAAAAGCAGAAAATTAGGATTTGGAGGTTTCATCTGGGGATGGGGCTATTAGATGAGTTAATCTCATACACAGCACATCATAAAGCACTGCTGGTATGTGAAAATTAGTCGACCTCCAACAGGAAAAGATCTGTGTGATCCAAGGAGCGTTCATTAGGAAACTGAATAATGAGGCGAGGAATGCACAACACGCGTTTAAGGTGGAACTGGCATTTCCAGCTTCCAGTCCTACTGCTGAAGGAAACATGGGTCTTGCTGGTTCAAGGTTTGCATCACAACAAACCATAGAAATGTGTCCTTCTCCTCTGGAGGAAGCTTAATGCTTTGGTCATCACCTGATGACCAAAGCATTAAGCCAAGATGGCCCCATGCTAGAGGCTTCCTCTGGAAGCAGCCAAGGGGTGATGAACAGGGCTGGTGCCAGGGAGGGCAGGAGATGTCAAACCATGCTCTGCTGTCACAGCCCTGAACAGTCCTGTCCCCTGCATCAATGCACTCTGCCCTCTTCCTACTAGTCTGAACTGTGGAGTTATCAAATACTCTCCCTATGGCATAGAGAGAATTTCCTCTCAGCTCACAGATACACAGCCAGATTTTAAACATGTAAAGGACAGTAACAATTTTCCCATTACTCCCACCTGCAGTGACAGATGCTGTTGTGTGGCAAGGAAAAGCCCCTTTCTCACTCTGGATAAAAACAGCAGCTAGAGCTACCCTTTACCCCTACACACCTCCCTCAAGTTAAAACTTTTGCCAGAGCTGATTCATGTCCAGGTGCTTTTTGCACTGATTTTGTTATGGAGGGGATTAAACAAAACTGCATGAGCAGTTTTGGAAGCAAGGCACAGAATTTGTCTCTGGATGAATAGCACCTCTCTCATGATATCCCCACATGCTGATTTCTTACCTACTACTCATTTCTCACACTAATTTCCTTCTTAACTGAGTTACCCACATGGACATCTATCAAATGCATTTCTGCAGTCTAGACTGACTATATCTCCTGTATTTCCTTTGTCAAAAAAATGTAGTTTCTTATCAAAGGTAGAGAAAGGGCTCATTTGGTAAAACCCCTGCCATATTTAATTGCGTTTCCTTCTATAGCTCTTAACAAGATTTAGTAAAGAAACAAATTCCATGTAACAGTGGTATGTATGTGCATGTAAACATAGTTATCTTTCTTTCTCCCAGTCACATATGAGTCTCTTGGCCAATTCCAAAGAGCTTTGTCAAAGGATTTAAATTCACAAAGATTAAAATCCGTTCCTATGCCAAAATAAAAAGACTAGCAGGTGGAGGCAAGAAGCCTTATTTTTGCTCCTACCAAAGGGAATGCTGTGGGATCTTACCCCTGTGCAGTGAGATGTCCATCTGGAAGAACAACCTTCACTTTAGGAGACCAGTGACCAAAGCCTATCCTTTCTCAGCCACTGGAGAAAGAGGAAGGTCAGGTTTGATAGATACCTCTGCCAGTCACAAAGCTGCTTGTTCAGCAGCCTAGGTGAGTTCACACTAATGGATCTGTAGGTGCCTGTGTGGCTCACCTCCTTCTTCCTATACATAAATCCTGTAGCTCTAACAGAGTGGCTGCATCAAGTACCACAAACTGCTCCCTGAGCAAGGAAAGTGATGCAGCCTTTTCCTACAGCTGTACATGCCAAGGAAAAGACAGCCAATTTGAGAAGCAGGATCATGGCAATGAAAGGTTTGGACTGCAGCTCGGCTGTGTGCTGGCAGCAGGATGTGTGCAGCCCATGCCAGGGCATCCCCTGGCGAGGTGCCAGAGATGTGCATGCCAGCAGCTTTTTGCTCTGTCCTCATGGAGCTAGCTCCACTAGCTTGACAGGAACTGTGCTGCTCCTAACAGGGGTAGTCTTGGGAAAACACTGCTAAATAAGAGGTCCAGGGACCAAGTGCTGGATGTCCTGGCTCCTCATGTTGCTTACCTGCTGTCTCATTTTGGCTAGGTTCTGGTGTTTCCAATTCCAGAATAAATCTCTGTCTCATGGTGACCATGAACTGGTTTTGGTCAAGGATCTGTCCCTCTGTTAATTAGTGGTATTATAATAGCCCTTCACCCCTAACATCTAGACTGTTCATATGGAAACTTCCCAAGGCTGTGGGAACATGGGAACATGTGGTCTGAGCAGGCTCATCTCCGTTAGCTGGCTGTCCCTCTCCAGTGCCATGGTTGCACCCAGCTTCATTATGTTAATGGACATTAGCCAAGCCCTGTGAAGAACTGCACCTTTTCCAGGGTGCAGGGAATGGTGGAAGTTTGACTCTGCTAATCTGGACATGCATTAGTCTCTCCTCAAGCTCAGCATCAGCCTCAGCCTTCTGCTCAGTTGGTCAGAGCACACTGTGCTTGGTGAAGAAAGGTGCAAGGGGAGGGGGAGAGGGCTGCCAGCATGTGAAGTGTTCCTGTGGGGTCCCAGGCTTTCTCTACTGGTCCTCATCCCAATACTGAACATGCTGTATGGATTCTTTAGCAGCTACTAAGGTGGCAGCCTTTCCTTGCTAGGAGCACTGAAATCTCTCCTCTCCCTCTCCCTCTCCCTCTCCCTCTCCCTCTCCTCTCCTCTCCTCTCCTCTCCTCTCCTCTCCCTCTCTCCTCTCTCCTCTCCTCTCCTCTCCTCTCCTCTCCTCTCCTCTCCTCTGTTTATTTTCACAAGCTTTTCGATGCTTGTCATTGACATCAGACTTCCTTTGAAACATGATGAAATTAGCCAATGTGATGGCAGAAGAGAGACAGGCAAGCTGTGGGATCACACAAAGTTCATTTATTTAGGAACCCAAATACAATTCTGAAGCCAAATTAACATTTCTTGTTGTTACAGGAAGTGCCTAGAACAGACAGAATTAAATCTTCCCTGGCAGGGTGTGACAGAATCTGAAAGATTCTGGTAGAGATTCAGAAGGATTTATGGGATTTAGCTTTTATTTTCCTTGTGTTTTCTTTCAGGAGCACGTGCCTACCTGGCTGCAGAACACTCACATTTATAGCTGGCCAAAGAATAAGAAGAACATCCTGTTGCGGCTGCTGCGGGAGGAGGAATACGTTGCCCCTCCAATAGGACCTTTACCAACACTCCAGGTTGTGCCGCTATGAACATTTTAACTTCAAGCACACCACGAGTGGTTGTTAAAGGCTTGTTCCTGGCAGGGAGCCAACACTCTTGCAGATGGCTCTTTTTGATGACAGAAGACACTCTTTCTGCTAAAGGAATTGGTTGTCTTGGGTTACTCAGGCTCAGCTTGTTCTCTACCATGTTAAACATATATTTCCAAAGCTGATGGGGCAGAACTCTCTTCTCTAGATTTTTTAATAAGCTACAAATGGAAAGAATGTTTTATTTTAACATCTGGTTTTAACATATTCCTTTTATTAGTCATTATAGCAAACAAATACCAGAAATAATGTTGCAATAAGTGTAAAATAAAAATTACATCCTCCTTTTTGCTCAGGGTTTCTTTAAAGATATTCCTGCTCTGTATAGCAATATTGAACCATCAATTTGTATATACACTATTAAATATATTTGCTTTTTGTAAGGCAATCTTATATACCATGTCCACTTCTATTATTGCTGGGGACAATGGAGAAATGGGTTGGGTAAGGCAGATTTTCCTCAGCCTGTCTTGCATAAAGACAGGCTCTTGTCATCTTCAATTAGAGGACTTTGAGATCTGGAATCTCTAGAGTTCCCTGTCCTTACAGCTTGGTCCCTCACACCTCCAGCCTGCTGCAGCAATAGTTCCCACAAGGAGAGCTGAATGCATGCCCATGTGTGCTGCCAGTGCCATGGAACACTGCAGTGTTTTTTATGGCAGGCCTTCAGCCTCACTATTGCTCTTCAGCCCTTATTTAAAACAGAGCATGTCAAAGGACAATTGGCATTTGGGAAGCCAGCAATTGTTAAGAGAAAGAACACTGACTCTCACAACTTGCAGCATGCAGTATGGAACAATAAAATAATCAAAGATGGAGGGCCACAGGGTGCTGGCCACCAGGATGGCTCAACAACATCACGTCTGCTAAAATTAAATATATTTTAACAGACCACAAAAGCACAACTTTGGTGAGGGTTTTTTGTTTTTTAACAGCCTTGATCTTACTGAGGTAACAGTGGACCCTGTTGGCTTAAAATTCTGCAGCCCTTATTCTTTAGAGCAGTCGTACCAGTCCTCCCCAGCTTTCATATTTGTCATGGAATGATCCAAACACAGCTTTATAAAAAAGTACGTGTTTGGTAGCCTAAAAAGAAAATTAGCCCAGAAGTTGATACTCCTAGTACAGTATCCAAATTATTTAATTAGCTTTCCGTGGAGGTGGTGCCAGCATGGTGTGTTGATGCAGCACATGCTTTCTGGTGCTTATGGAGAAAAAAATTAAGATTTTCCTTCAGCAGACTTGTGCAAAAATAATTGCAGCCATTTAAGAGAAGGATGTATTCAGTGTTGTCAACTCCAATGATTTTTATTGTGGTATTTTCTGTGCCTCTTGCCACTCCGGTTTCAAAAGGGAAGCTAAAGAGCTGAAACAGGCTAATACCTGATGTGCCAGCAGCTTCCTGAGAAGGCACAATAAAACTGTGTTAGGCAGTGGCACTTCTTGGCACCTACTTACATGTGGGGAAGGGAGGTCTGTTTTTCATGTGATAAATTTTCTATTAAGAAAATAATTTTCTAATATGTGGTGACAGCCTAAAATCATGACAGAAATTTATCTTAAATGGTCACCAAAGTAAACACAGGAGTGGGATGTGGGTCAACATTTGGGGTCACCTGGAGTGCACTACAACATTGAGCTCAGCCTCCAGGTTCAGTGAGTCTTCTGAAATGCTGGGGCATTATCTGCCACCTCAGTATGGCTGCCTCTGCTATCTGAAGTGTTCTAGCACTATGAATTAGTCTGTCTCAACTGGCTTCTGAGCCTCTTAGCCAACTTCTGCCACATTTAATAGGGAGGGCTCAAAGATAGTAAGTGCCTGTGAGTTTCATGGAAAGACTTACCCAAGCAAAGAGCGAGCCCCAGACCCACATGCTGAGGAGGGAGAGGTTCTGGTCTCCTCCCAGAGGCGGATAGCTGGCCACCCTGGCCCTGGCAGGGGGCTGGGAGGCCTCCTGGGCTACACAGCCTGCACAAGTCTGCAGGAGAGAAGCATGTGGGGAATGAGGCTGGGTCAGTTTAGCTGCTCGCAAAGCAGCGTATTAGGTAGTGCAGTTAAGCATTCAAAATGATTAGTGAGGCTGGGTAGTGAATTCCTTTCATAATTTTGGCTGTCATCTGAAAATATCTGCTCTAGATTTATCACAGATTTGCTTGGTTTGGGCCAGGGAATTTCATTAAGCAATTCCTGCATCATGTGATGCACAAGGTTGCATTAAACGGTCCGGTGACTATTTCTATTCTTCTGTTTGAACGATCCTTTTCTGCAAAACAATACTAGCAGAGTGAGGAAGAAAAAGAAAAACTAAGCTTTGCTGTTTGGGAAGTACAAAGAGCCCAATCTATTTAACTCCTGTGGCCTTTTTTTTTTTTTTTTAATAGAATAACAATTCCCAGGATTCATTGATCTTTACATTAGTTAGAGCATCCTACAAGGACAGAAACCATGATGGGGAGAGTGTGAGTAATGAGCTAGCAGCCTAGTGAATCATTTCCCCTAAAGCTTTGTATTTGTAGAGAGACAGATGGTGGGAGCTGTGAAGAGGGAGAGGCAGGAGAGGTTTTTGCAAACAGCAGAAGTATAGAGGATGGTGAGGAAAGGAAAAAAGAAATAATCAGCAGGTAAGGAAGAAGAAGAGGCTGAGAATACACCAGCTGTTTCAAAACTAATGCATTAATGTTAGAATGGATTAGGTTTCAGGGAAAATACAAAAAGGAAATTGCAGAAAACAAGTGCTTTGTGGCTGAGAGGGAAAATTTACTAAGAGCAGCCCTAAATATATATTTGTAGATGAACTCTTGAGTCAGTTATTAAGTGCAAATAACAGAAGCAGCTGAAAGGATGCAAGGCTCCATCCTGCAGGCTAGCAGTGCTGCTGCCCAGCTGGAGCTGCCAAGCTGCAGGTGCCCACAGAGGCAAAAGGCATCACTTGGATGGTGACAGCACCAGGGGTTTCTCTCACAGCACCTGTAAATTTGCAAGGGGTGTTTGGGAAAGGAAATCCATTGTCCCTAACATGGAAAGTAAGAAAAGCAAAAGAATTACATACTTAACACTGGGATGAGTGCAACATTAATAAAGAAATAGAGGATTTAGAGACAACCTGCTTTGGAGTCTTGCCAAAATTCAGATGACATTAATGCATGTAAAGGTTTTGTTGTGCAAGTCACCTGTGTGACAAAAATAGGGTTGCAAAATTTTATCCCACAGTTAAGTTAGACCTCTCCAGAGAAGGTGATTCGAGTACTAAGTTAATTTAATAAAGCCTTGTACACAGGACAAGAAATGCTGCCCTAGGAGCTCATTTGCTCCTGGTAGGGTCTTAAATGGCATCATTTGCTGCCATTGAAGGAAATAAATCAGCGGACTTCCCTGCAGCCTCTCTGGGGTCACCAGCAAGGCAGGTAATGAAACTGGCTCATCAAAACAGCTCCACCAAAGGGTGCCTTGCTGAGAGCCTTTCCCTCATCTCCAGCCACTGACCAGGCTGCAGGTAGCAGAGACATGGGCATCTCAATAACAGCATCAGTCTAGGCAGCAAACTTGGGCAGTGTGGTCAGGAAGCTCCTCGCTGAGATAAGAAAAGGAGCAATTCCCACCATTTAGGATGCTCTGGGCTGTCAGATGGAGGCACTGGTAAAGCTGACAGACACCTCTTGTCTTAAAAGGGAAGGGGATGTGGGAGGGAGGAATTGGGAGCTCTGTGGCCTTGCAGTGCCAGAGGTCTGCTGTGGCAATGAAGTGAAACATTTCTCAGAGGGTTCCCTCCTTCAGTGCATAACAGGCACACCTTATCTTCCAAAGCAAACATCTCCCCTGTTACACTTTGGCTCTAATTTAACAGGTTCCTCCATGCCCACATCTGATAATGTTTCACCTGTGTTTGGGAAACAGATCCTGCCTGGAAGGTCACAGCTTTTGTGAGCCTCCTCCTCCACCACCTTTTATCATGATGTTGCTGCAAGGAAGCACTGCCACAGCATCCAGTTTGCAGTACTGATGGGCTGGCACTGCTGCTTCTCCCCAGAGCCCCCAGCATGGGTCTTCTGCAGAAGTGCCAGGCTGGCACACAGCACATCAGTGTCACTACACAGCTCCAGTGTGTCACTTCTCCTCGACCAATGGATGCTCACACAGTCCCCTCAGCCAGCATGCACCACACTGGCACGTGAACACCTCACAAAAGTCACTTGCAAAACCCTCTCTGAAACATCAGTCACACCTCTCCCACCTGCATATTACAACCAGTGCAAGAAGATAAATGCCTGTATTTATGTGGTATTTGCATTACAAGTTATTGCTCACAGCAAGAGATGTTCTCTGGGCTGCAGGGAAGGACATCTGAGCAAGAAGAGGCTCCACTGCCATGGCAGAGGAGTGCTGGATGCTGCTGCCCACAGAGGCAAAGCCAAACCAGGCCCTGAGATGCCAGAGTACAGAAGAAGGCAGCAGAGAATCAGCCTGTCCAATCCCCCTCCAAACGAGGCCAAGAATAAGATGGAATTGCTTAGCCCCACTCCAGCCTCCATGGGCTCAGAGCCCAGCCTCAGCCTGATCATGGAACAGTGCACAGACCACCAGCTGTGTGTCCCTGTCTGTGGCCAAGATCACTTGTAAACAAACACAAACCCATCTCAAGCTAAGTTGCCCAGCCTAACCAGATCTGCCAGCTGGGCTGCATTTCAAGGGCTCGCTGATGTGGAGGGGACCAAACAAATACAAACACACATACTCCCTGCATCGTGGCTCTGAGCACTGCATGCCACTGCACAGGTCCATGCAAACAGGAAAAACGTCACCAGCAGCAAAGACAGGGTTTTTAAAAACATTTGTTCTTTATTGAAAAGTATCAGGGACTTCTCCAGTTTCCAGAGTGAGGGGAAAGCGCCTGCTTGCCCATCTAACCCTGGGGTAAGGAGAATTTCACAGCAACCTCTGCAGACACCAAGTCCTTGGGGCTAATGGACAGATCCAGGGAATCTCAGGTGAAACTTGGATGAACCCAGTGGATTTAAATCCCTCCAGGACTGGCTGTTGTGGAAGGGGGACCTGCCAAGGAGTAGGACATTTCCCAGGACCTATTTTGATGACTGGGCAGATGAAGCCCTCTCTGTCTGACCTGTACCACTCTTCTAAGAATGGGAAAATGCACACTGTTGGAAAGCTCCAGAGAACCTCAAAAGTGTGGATTTTCTGGGGTGCAGAAGAAGGTACTGTAACAGCAGACACTGGACAAACACCCCACCACCCAAAAAACTACTAAAATAGTTAATAACTAAAATTGATTTTTAAAAAATCATTACAAGCATCTGCAGTGAGCTCATTCTGTCTGTACTCCATTCTTTGGATTTTCCACTTTTTTCCTAAGGAATTACATTCTGGAAATACTATCTTGGAGGCCTTCTTCAAAGATACTTTCCTTTACTTGGGCTGACAGTCCTTACAGCATGTCTGTTCTGGTTTTCATCAGCTACACCCAGTGAAAATCTGGTGAATGTGATGCATTGTGACTGCCACGTTCAGCACTGCACTGCTCCTGTGCCAACCTTGGGATTTCCAGCAAGGTGGAAGGTGCTGAAGGTGCTGCAGTCCACTGTTAAAAACCCTGCAGTCTTCAAAGGCAGAAATTCAGTGAGAAAGACTTCTAAACAGGTAACACTACTGGGGATTGAGCTGAACATCCCAGAAGCAGCGAGTGCATTAAAGAATCTTTCACTCCAAGGCTGGGAGAGGGAACTGAGCCCAGCTTGGCACTGACCAAGCCCAGTCCATCAGTATCTGGTAGCATCAGTGGGTGCTGTGTGCATCTCACTCATGTGCAAATGCACACAGCCAGATGCTCCCACCACAGCCCTCCTCCCAGAACTTCCCCCCACACAGACTCTACAGAGACATTGAAATCCATCCTCAGCACTGATAAGGCACTAGTGGTTCCCAAATGCCAAACCAACAGTATACAGAGGACAACTGACCACCCCTCTTCACAGCAGACTAAAAATATCCCTACCAGCAATGATTCCAGATGCTCAGGACTGGCTTTCCCCACATACAGGGCAGAGAATTGTTCAGAAAACAGATTTTTTTTTTTTTTTATTCTTCACTTTATCACTGCACTGCTGCAGACAGCAGAAAGTTACCCACTCACTCTCCTGCAGCCTCCTTAGCTAAGAAGCTGAGATAATAGCAAAGTGGCCATTTAGGCAAGGTTGTTGAAGACTTACTGATGAAAGAAGCATGTACATACAAAAATTACTGATTTTTATGGGTCCATTCTCCTCACAGCCTTACAAGAGACAGTTTTTTCCTTGAAGCACCAGCTGTGCAGAAGCTGAAACAGCAGAAAGCCAGCAGTAAGACTATCCCAAAAGAGAGATGAAGGGGAGCTCTTAAAATAGGCACAATAGCACCTGAGAAGACAGACAGAGTACAATAAAGAAGTGAGAAAGAAGAAGGGAACTATACTGTCATAAAATTGAATGCAGTAGCAAAATTAATCAGCTAGCATAGACTCATCTCTTTTGGTCTCTTTTTTTCTTTTTTTTTTTTAATAGGTAGAATAACTCAGCACTTACTATTTTTATAAAGAAGAGGAAAAAGAGAGAAAACCAGTATCTTCCTCCAGGCTTTTGTGTCCCATTTTAACTTAGTAGTTGGAAACCAACCTACTAAAGCAGTAGGACACAGTCACACTGAGGACACAGTCACACTGATGACAATTTGAAATATATGTGTATATATATACTAGCAGTCAAGAGACAGCTGCATCAAGGCAAGACAGACAGGTATAGAGGTGCACATGCAAAACACAAGGAATGCAAACTGCACATCTCAGACCCTAACTCTGATTGATGTAGTCAAGACTCCTTGCTCACTCCAGGCTGGAGTTAGTTATTCCCAGGAGCAATTAACAGGTTGAATTTTAAGCTCTGGCCTGGATGGCCTTGGCATTGGAGAGACAGGTTTCACTACTCCCTCAAAGCTGTGCCCAGACAGTGGGACAGAATTTTGTGACTTGCTTTAATGGAGCTGTATGAGGGAAAAAGCACCATCCTCATCAAACCAGGTTATGGTTTTTCTGTTGCCCATATTCCTCAGTTGTGCACACTTCCCTGGTTTTGATGTCTTACAGAGTAACTTTGTCTAAAACAGCCTGATGTTCCAGGCCCCAGCTTTCCAGGCTCCAGCTTTTTTCACTACAAAAAAAATGTTCATCCAAGGACCCACATCAGGCTCAGCCTGTGCATCCCTACACTAAATCAACACTGGATGTGATGTGGCCCTGTACTGCCTTCACATGACGTGAAATAAGAGGTGTAGTTCAGCAGTGCTGTTGTATGGAGAGAGGATGGTGCTTGGGCAAAACTTCCAGGGCATTTCTATATCAAGTATGGTCTAAGTCTACATCTGTGGTGATGCCCAAACTGGTCTTTTGCAGAGGGCAAGAAGACAAGCCTTGATGAGACACTGTCTGTGAAACAGCATTGGTGAGAAAATCCAGCGAGTGCCAGGAAATCTGGTGGCAGAGTTCAGTAAAATGAGGAGTCCTAGGCCTACCTGCTCCCTACAACCAGGACATTTCTTAGGTACATCACAGGGAAAGGCATTTATCCCACCAGACCTATGGGGTACAAGCACAGGTAGCAAGCAGCATGTCTGTGAGCTCCAGGGCTGTCAGACCAGTCTCAGTGCCTCAACCCTTGGTGCACATGGAGATTTAGCAAAGGCATTTCACATCAGCCCAGCTATCAGCTCTGACTATCATGCTGTAGATGTGCAAGATGTAAAAGCATGCTATCAGTTCTGATTTCCCTTTTCTCTCTCACCCTTCCATTAGGAAACCTCTAATCAAAAGAAGAATTTTTTATAATTCTTTTGTGTGTTGCCTGCATTTTACAACATTAGAAGCAGCTATGCAGATACAGCTGCCTTGTGCCTAATGCTGAATACCAGAAGGCTGCTCTAACGAAGAGCTTACAGTCTGACTCTATCTGGGATTTGAGTGGCTAACTAAAATCCTTTGCAAATTATCACTGTCACTTCTTTGTAAGCCCTGCTTCCTTTCTTTACGCCTGAATTCGGGCTGGGGATAATGAACTTCCTGTATCAGGGACTGGGATACAAGGAAACTCATTGTACACTCACCAAGGAAGGGGACAGCAGTAAGTAGCTTATGAGGCAGCTCTGAAGGGTCTTATTAGAATGACTTATTCTCTGAGTTTCAGTGGTTTGATTAAGTGCATCATGTGATAAACACTTATAATGAACTTCTTCAGATGCTGCCAGGGAAAACCCAGCAGATAAAATGCAGAATCCCATGGCATTGCTCTCTGCATAACAAACTGATTACAAAGATGGAAAAAATCATGAATTCACTGGCTTCTCCTACTCAGGACACACATAACAATGTTATACAATTTTCTCTTTGCTGTCCCAGATTAAAGTATCCTTGCTACTCAGTCCAGTTCAAACTAGTGCAATTTTTCTCCTACAAGTCACCAGGCAGATTACAGCTAAATGTAACTACTTGCAAGAAAGTCTAGTCATGCTTCTAAATGATTTCTTTGTTATTAAAGAAAACAAAATAATACAAACAAACATGGCCATGGTTAGAACTAGATGATCTTTAAGGTCGCTTCCAACCCAAACCTTCTATGATTCTATAGGGGAAAAAAACCCCAAAGAACTAAAAAAAGAACTTAAACTCACAAGTAACATGCTAATTTGGTTTGTTTAAGAACAGCAGGCCACAGTTGAGAGCATCCCTTGCAGTTTTGGCCTGGCCAATACCTGTAGGACCAATGAACCAAGGTAACACATCAGCATCTGCTCTGCTCTCTCCTCACCCCCAGTTTGCAGCTTCATTTTTTCTCCTCAGCAGCACAGCCTCTCTTCTTTACCCTCCCAAGCTGTCTGTGCCCAACAAGCTACAGCACCTCTGCAAAAGGCATCCTGGTTCTGGCATGAAGCAGGGGATGGATGCACTGGTTCCTGTCCTGTTAGCCAGCATAAATTACAGCATTGCTTCTTCAAGGCCAGTGCCATATCCCTGGCTAGGGTGTCAGCTGGAGCAGGCAAATGTTTCAGCTGGGTGTGGTAAAGATGTCAGGAAGCACCAAGAGAGGTAGACAAGTGCTGGACTCTTAAGAGAGGTAATTGGTATTACTTGGGAGCCTTAATTCAGTGAAAGGTCAATGAGGGCATCCCCTTTCTTTAAGCTAGTTACTGACTGTTTTTCCCTCAGTCCAGACCCCAGGCTTTACAGAGCAGTAGCTGAGATGGCAGAAGCTGCAAAGCCAGCCCACAGTAATGCCTGTCCTCAGGCTACCTTGCTCCATCATCCCACCGAGTAATCAGCTCTTTAGGGTCACTGGGTGAAGTGCCTTAAAGGGAATTGCTTTGGCAGTTCAGGTGTCAGTAGAAACAAGAGGGTAAAGGGTCACCTGACACCAGGCAGGTCACCTCAGCAGCTCTGCCCTGCCTGTCACCAGTGGGTCTGATAGCTGCCAATGCCACAGAGTGGAACCAAAATGGCAGTGCTAATTCCTCTGATGCCTCAGGTTTTAGCTTTTATATTTTTGCAGATTCTGTACTGCTCTAGTGTGTAGTTCTGAGCTTCATATTAGGGGATAGTCAGCTCTCTTCACAGAGTAGATCGACAAAACAATTCCTTCTCTAGCTGGGGGCCAAGGACAAATGATGCAAATTTCAGGCCTAAGAGCATAAACAACAGTGGACTGAAGAGAGAAAAACAAGAAGGGTGGGACTTCATAAGCTAAAGCTGTAACTGGACAATAACTCCAGTATGCTAATCACCAGAACTTATCAAAGTGTGAGACCCTGTGACCAGCCATCCATTTTGTGACCATTTTGGGTTCATCTTGGGTGTAGCCCTGGCTGGGCTCTTGTACTGCCCAGAGTGTATCCACTGAGGCCTTTTAATAAATACCTACTCTATTCTTTACTCTGTCTAGCCTGTCTTCTAGGTCAGCCTTCACAAGGCATCACCTCCATCAGATGTACAGCTCTTGCATTTCCCTCCTGCCTGCCTCAAGGCAAGAGTGCCCAGCCTGGCACACAAGTTGCCATCACCATCTCACCATCACCTGTGCACCATCACTGGAAAGCCAGCTCTGGCACAGCACCTGGGAGAGCGGTTTTGGTTATGGCTGGCATTGAGTGTGCCCCCCACTCCATCTGCTTCCCGTGCCCAGGAACAGTGCCACATCCCCTGTGTGCTGCAGCCTGCTAAACCCCCTCACTAAATACCAGCTGCCAAACCTCAGATGTGCACAGACACACAGACAGCCCTGCAGGTGAGACCCCGGGCTGGCAGTGTGCACGGACACCAGAGCTGCCCCAGAGGCAAGTCCAGCAGCATCCTTAAGTACAGTACCAAGGTGTTAACCTGCTACCTGAGCCGACAGCCTCATCACACCCAGGGCAGCTGTTACACAGAGATCTAGGCAGGAAATATGTGCCAGATAAAGAACACAGGCAGGAATATCAAGTGGACTTGTCAGATGAATTACAGCACTGCTGGGGGGAAGATGCCCTGCTCCTTGGCTTGACCATCAGAATGCTTATCCATCAGTTCTGTTTTGAAAAATGGTCCAGCAATTATGGCATCTCAAAAAAAGTCCTAGAGGATGGTAAAAACTGTTTGTGTTTTTTCTAAGCATCCAACCTGGAAACACAACAGCAGTTTAAAATGTACATCAAACCATATGTGAGCTTTCCTATGTACTCTTACTAGCCATTAAGTTTCCGCAGGCCATGCTATTATTCAATTAATAGGATTGCAGGCTATAACTGAAGGGATAACACACCTCTCAGAACTCATCAGTTGTGATGCCTTGTGAGAAAGAGGGCCTTATCTTGATTTATTTTACAGCCAAAGGGAATCCATGTATCTAATAGCAAGAAAAAGGTATCTTCAAAACATGGTTCTATGCAATCAGTAAGAATCAATAACAATAACAATAACAATAACAATACTGCTATTAGACTCAGTCATCAGAGAACAAAGGAATTTTACATCTGTAAACCAAGCAAAAATTTGCACATTCAGTCATTTCCACTTGATAAAGGAGCATTCCTCCTACATGACAAAACAGGTAAAGGTGTTTGTGCTTTAAATCATGGATGCTAACTTATCCACAATCTAGTCTGAAAGTGTGAATCAATTTGGAGTGCCATTCAGCAGCTGCCTTTTTACTGGTCTCATACTTGTATGTATTAAATACTGTCCACAGATTTCCTTTGTATGCCTGTCCCCAGAGACTGAAAACCTGGTGTACTCAACTCATAAATAAAGCTAGTGAGACATGAGCAAGAAAAAACATAGCATACTTCTGGGCATCACTCCAGGAAAATAAATATGCAAGATGGCACATCACCCTACACAAAGCTGGCAAAGGTAAAATAACATTTGGGTTCGATCATTATGGAAAAGAAAATAATTCTCTGTTCATATGTACATGCTGATCTTCCACTGAGACAAAAGGGCCAAGGTAAGACTGGAGTTTGACTCACAAGGAAACAAATCTCCTGGAAACAGCTGTGGCTTATTTAAGCAAATTGAGGGAATCAAGTCTGAATCTGATCCTCAGCTTTCAGGAGGCCCTTGAATTCTCTAGCAATGACCAACA